TGTCGATTTCTTATTCCATTATATCCTGAACATTTACGCGACCTAATTAATGGGCAACAAGGAACCTACGGATTTCTAATTTCTCCCTTGAGGTGTCACGACATTCGATTAAATGACGTTCAATCGAATATGACCGCCATTTCTACTCATAGTCCTAAGAAACTTGGATTTCGATCCATGCACCTCGAAGGAATGCAAGGTTAATTAAGCACTCATTCGAATCGACAAATAATGAAATATAAGAAATCAAGCATCAACACATATGAAATATAACAATCGTATTAAGCCAAACATAGAGTTTTACATTACTAGAACCCCTAGTCATATACCTACGCAACTGAAGGAACTAGCCAACCATAGGGAAGGGTTTCTAGGCGAATTGATTAAAATGAAGTCCCCAAAACACCACTCGAATCAGTGACACCGGTAGAGAAAATAGGCCATCGTCGTTTCTGACGCTGATTCCTCAGTGAGGGCTGGTCTTGCTTTATTTCTCGTCTCCTCCTCTTGAGTTCTACCTCTAGAGCTCTATTTTTAGATCTTCGATTAGGATTTCTAGGGAGAAAACTCATAGCTCCTACGTCATTAAGGCAATCAAAAGTCTCCAAACACGTGACCTGCAAATCAGGAAGCTCCAGGGTAGCTTTCTAACGAAATAGAAGAGCTATGTAAAACGGCGCGAACTACGCCATTTTCCTTCGTAGGGCGTCATTTTGGGCGTCGTTTCTTTAAGTTCATACTCTCTTCAATTCCTAACTCCAACAACTGGATCTCGATGTCCCCTACGACTCCCAAGTGGTCCACTAGTATGCTTTGACCTAAAAATGCACAAAATGCTAACAAAAGAGCATCAAACCCTCAAAAGCAATCTTAGGGTCATAGCACAAATTCAAGATATTGTGACGATAATGATATGAAATGCATGCACTTTGGGTCATAATACGAGAGTCTAGAATAATTAACTCTACGTGTCATCAATTCTCATCTTGTACATGTTTTGTTTTCATTAAGAGAATAATTTGTGAGGAAGAAAGTCAAACTAATGATCTTAGCTTGTTCAGTGCTTGAGAGTTCCCCAACCCTCGATAGTTATAACTTAATATCCTCATATATTCCTCGAATGTGGTAGGTTCTTTGCACCCAAAGAGCCCTCAGTCGCAGTTGGGTGCCTTGCATCACCCACCTTTGTTAAATGGGAATGAGATGTGGGAAATCGAACCATCGTTGGGTCATAGTACTTTGACTTTTGGCACGTAGTGGTCTTAGTTGTAGGTTTTCCTTTAGTATATGCCTTCTTGAGTCTTAATTGTATCCCATTAGTTTTCTTCTTACTAGTACTCTTTCCTGCTTATTGTTGTTGATCTGGTCCAATCTAATGAGTCGTCACACCTACCTAGTCGAATTGGTGTTTGCTGAACAAGCGCTAATTTCTCGTGTGGCTTGTTATCGATCTTGCTGCTGGGATCGGAAGACTCCCATCTCCTTCTCGAGTGCTTCCTCATGGACTTCCAAGTCATTAAAGATGATTTTGTACGACAACCCAACCCTTAGAGGAAAAAAAATGCCATATTAGGTATAAAAAACTCGATGAATGAGCTAGATTTTCATTCTCAAAAGATTTTGGTACACATATGAAAATGTTGAGCATATTCTTATACAAATGTATTTAGCCTTCATTTTTTATGTGACTTTTCATAGGTTGCAAAACATAACTATCTTTCTTGAAACTAACTCTTGTATTTACTATTCAGAACAATGTTGAAGTATAAGTCCAACTAATTATAGACTAACATTCTAAGTTTTGGTGCCATGGTTTTTGTTTTGGTTTTTATCCTTTTTAGTTTTTATGGTTCTTTTGGTGAAGAGACAAGTGTGGAGGGCCCTATACATACCAAGAGACAAAATAATTTCCTGTTTGGTGACACACCCTATTCTACACCAATCAAGCTTTTAGTTGCGTTAAGATAGAAAAATCCCCCCAACTCTGTTGGGAGCCAATTAGAGAAGCCAAAATCAACATAAAAGTGAGAGAGTGTATTGCATTAATCAGGAATTAAGCCACTTAATGAAAAGAAACCAAATCTTACTTTATAATCACTCTAAAAATTCATCTCAACCATAACACTGTACGTCAAAATGGAAATAACGCTCTGAAAAAATGTTTCAAGAGAATATCCCCCCTTTTAATTAATTAATTAACCCCTTAATCCTCACCTAATCACAGTCCAAGTCCCTCTATATAGTCTCACTCTGATTTTACACTTTCCCTCCCACCACTACCACTCCCATTCCTTTTCCCATTCCTCTCCAACACAACAAACAAAAGCAAAGGCAAAATGGGTCATCGAAGTTACATTTCGCCCGCTTCACCAATGCTCTTTGTTTGCTGCTGCTGCCTTCTATGGCTCTTCCCGATTCTCGCCGCCGGCATCACAAGGCACTACAAATTCGATGTACACGCATTTATTTATCTTAAAACCTCACACCCTTCTTATCTTTGCATGCTTTTGGCTCCAAATGTGCTTTGATTTGCTGACATTCTGATGATGCTAAATTGTTTCGATTATCGAAAGATCAATTACACGAACCTGACGAGGCTCTGCCACACGAGAAGCGTCATCACCGTGAACGGGCAGCTCCCTGGACCTCGCTTGATCGCCAGGGAAGGCGACCGCGTGATCGTTAAGGTCGTCAACCACGTTTCCAACAACATCAGTATTCACTGGTACGCGTATGGAACAAACATTTCTTCGTTGTTTTCGTTACTGGTTGCTCGTTTTTCGTTTTGTGTTTCGAGTAATGTTGATGAATCGCTATCTACGGAAATTTTTTACAGGCATGGGATAAGGCAGCTGACGACTGGTTGGTCCGACGGGCCGGCTTACATAACCCAATGTCCGATTCAAACCGGGCAGTCCTACACCTACAACTTCACCATCACGGGCCAGAGAGGCACACTATGGTACCATGCGCATATCTCCTGGCTGAGGTCCTCTGTTTACGGACCAATGGTGATTCTCCCCAGGAAGAATGAGTCCTTCCCTTTCCCCAAGCCCTACAAGCAGATTCCCATCCTTTTTGGTAATATGGAACTCTTCTTCTGCTTTTGTTGTTGTTGTTTTTTTTGTTTTTCCTCAACTCATCAGGATTATTTTTTCTATGATGAACTTGAAATCAGGGGAATGGTTCAATGTGGATCCTGAAGCTGTGATTGCTCAAGCTCTTCAGACCGGCGGCGGCCCGAATGTGTCCGATGCTTACACCATCAATGGCCTCCCTGGCCCTCTCTACAATTGCTCTTCTGCTTCAGGTCTATTTCTCAATCAATATCGAAATTGCAGGAGAAAAAAGCTTCAATTTTTCCTTCTTTTCTCAATATCCCCTGTTTTTCTTTTTGGGTGATCCAATCAGATACATTCAAGCTGAAAGTGAAGCCGGGAAAGACTTACATGCTCCGGCTGGTCAACGCTGCACTCAACGACGAGCTCTTCTTCGGCATCGCCAACCACTCCCTCACCGTCGTCGACGCCGACGCCGTTTACGTAAAACCCTTCGAAACAGAGTGGCTTCTCATAACTCCAGGGCAGACCACCAACGTACTTCTCAAAACAAAGCCGCATTCCCCCAACGCCACTTTCCTCATGGAAGCCAAACCTTACTTCACCGGACAGGGCACCTTCGACAACTCCACCGTCGCCGGAATCCTCGAATACGCTCCGGTTAAGAAGAGCACCGCCGCCAAACTCCCCGTGATGAAACCCACTCTGCCTTCGATCAACGGCAACTTCAGCACCCCTCAGGTGGCCAATTTCACCGCCAAGTTCCGCAGCCTGGCGAGCCCCAAATTCCCGGCCAACGTCCCGCAGACGGTGAGCCGGAAATTCTTCTTCACGGTGGGGCTGGGAACGTCGCCGTGCCCGCAGAACACGACGTGTCAGGGGCCGACCAACACCACCAAATTCGCGGCCTCGATCAACAACGTCTCGTTTGCTCTGCCTTCCGTGGCGATGCTGCAGTCTTACTACGCGGGGAATTCGATCGGAGTGTTTAGCTCCGATTTCCCTCAGAACCCGGCGAATCCTTTTAACTATACGGGTCCGGCGCCGAACAACACCAACGTCGGGAACGGGACGAAGGCTCTGGTTCTGGCGTTCAACACGAGCGTGGAGGTGATTCTGCAGGACACCAGCATCTTGGGAGCAGAGAGCCACCCGCTTCATCTCCACGGGTTCAATTTCTTCGTCGTCGGGCAAGGGTTTGGAAACTACGACCAGAACAAAGATCCGGCGAAGTTCAATTTGGTGGATCCGGTGGAGAGGAACACGGTAGGTGTGCCCGCCGGCGGGTGGGTGGCAATCCGATTCCTGGCGGATAATCCAGGTGGGTTTTTTCCCCCTTTCTTTTCAAAACTAATTTTGGGTTGTGTTGAATTGGAATTGGGTTTCTGATTATGTGGTTTTGGTTGCAGGGGTGTGGTTTATGCATTGCCATCTGGATGTGCATACGAGCTGGGGGCTGAGAATGGCGTGGATTGTAATGGACGGAGCTCTGCCGAACCAGAAGCTGCAACCGCCGCCGGCCGATCTTCCCCAGTGTTAGCAACAGCACTCCATTTCCTACTCTTTCCAAGCGTTTCTTCTTAATTCGTCATCTTCCCATTTTGGGGCTTCTTGGTTTCTTATTTGGTTTTCCTTTGTTTTTGAGTTCTTGTAATGTTCCTTTGCTGCACTGTTTTTTGCCTTTTCATTTTCCTTCAACAATCAACACCGGAGACTGTTAAAAGAGGCAGCAGAAGCCTAGAATCTTTGTTGTTTGTACCCTTTCTTAATTTAATAATGAGATTCTTTTGCGGCGTGAATATTTTAGTAATAAATATTCGTTCTTCTGATTGGAAATCAAAGGCACCAGTGGTCTAGTGGTAGAATAGTACCCTGCCACGGTACAGACCCGGGTTCGATTCCCGGCTGGTGCATTTCTTTTTCTTCTGCTCTTTTTGGCCTACGGGAGAAGTTTGCTTTTGGTGTTCTTGTCTTCTCAGAATGAGTTCCATTGTTCCAAGTTCCAACTTCCAAGCTCCCATTTGTGGTACAAATGAAAAATCAAGCGACAGGAATCTGAGAAAAATAGTTTCTACAAAACAAGAGTATTATTTGGGGCCAGAAACTGCGGTAAGCGAAAAACAGATGGCTAATGCTTGTGAGCAGTAGCAGCTCGAACACAAGTGAATTTTTACAGTTGACAAGTAGGAGGGGAAGTTAGGTGTGCAGCAAATGATACTACTGCAGCATGAGAGAAGAAAAGTATTGCTCGAATTCTTGATCAATGGTCGGCTTTCTGGCCTGTGGCTGAGGATCTGCATACAAGAAACAGAAAAAACACACAATAACATCCAAAATAGGCACAAGGAATCACACAAAGCTAACTATAGAGATGCTTCTGAATTCAGCAGCTTTTACCTTGGTCAACACTCCATCTTCCAGATGAAAGGACATAAACATGAGAGTTCGCTCCATTCAAACCAAGAACATCATCCACTTCATCGTCTTCGAGAGGGATATTTCCTCCCTTGTAGTACTGTTGAGCATATTCGAGCATTCCATCCTTGTGATCATATGCTTCAAGGCTGTCATAATAAAGATGTGGGAGTTCCTTCCCGTTACTAGGATCTGAAGAACACTGAGGATCCTGTGTAGAACTCTCGGAAAAACAATTCAACGACGAAGTAGAGGCTAGACTGCTGCTCGGCCATGTATTTGTGATCTCTGATTGCGGTTTAGCTTCACTAGATGACATGGTACAGGGATGTGAATCGACAACAAAGCTGTTGCTATCATTAGCAGATTCATAATCAGACATCATGTTGTCGATGGAATTCCCCTGTTGCTCGGCATTGTCCTTGAGTACATGATTGATTGTGTGTCCCACCTGATTTTTCTCATCACCAGGATGAACCCAACAATTATGCTTTGGTAGGGGAAGACCCAATTGCACGGCATTCAACTTCCTTTTCCTGTCAATACAACGATGTGATGTTCAGTGCAGTACTCGGAATCATACAAATCAATGAATCAGGGGACTCAAGTACCAAAAGCATAGCAGCTTGGGCCATTGACTGCTACAGCACAAATGGGACAGCCACTAGCCAGAGCTGGAAGGCCAATTAGCAATTCATATCAACCAAATCCAACGTCAATTTAATGAAAACTTCATTGTTGGAAGTATGGTAGGAGAATATGATACACTAATAGGCTTATCCCATTCCCTACGAGCAAGAAGTACTTTTAATCAATTCAAATCTGGTTAGATATTTTCAGCCAAATAATAACCATGGGGTCAACTCTTGTGGATTCTGACTGGAAAGGAAAGGTTGGAGAGAAAGGGTTTACTTTGAAAACACTCGCAATTGCTTGAACACGACAAGTGAAACTAGATCTCGATCATTAACCTCGAAATCGCATTATTTAAATCTTACCCACCCAGCTGAACCAGAGAAAACAAAACACTATAAACTTGGCAGCTGTTGTAGCTGTGATGACACACAACAAACAGCACAAGACTCGACAATTTTACACCAAATCAACGGATCTCAACTCTAAACTCCGACCAACTTGCGCCCATGAACTCTGAACTAAAAAAACAGAGAAAAACTCAGGAGAGGATGCAAAAGAGTAAGCAAAGCTTCGATCTTTCGAGGATAAAACTTGAGACCCACGAAACCTAACCTGTTGAGATAAGATGGGTTATCGTTATCTTCTGCATCCTGCATCATCGGGACGAGAAAAGACGACATGCTGAACCCCTCACAAACTGGGGAAGTGCAGCCTCCTGTGTTAGACTTTCCTTTTTCACTTTCTCCCCTTCCCTGGGTTTCTTTTTCTTGTCATTTTTTTAAGGATGCCCAAAGATTTATAAAATCCGTTTATACTTTCTGAGTACATTTCCCTTCTGTCCTCTAACTGGCGAACTATTAGCTCCCTATTCACAGCAGCAAGAGCGTGGGAACACGTAGGGATTCGATTCTGACCACGTTGCATGTCGAATGCATCCAACGGACGTTTTGGTTGTAAGATGATGGCAGAGCGCGTGGGATGTGGTGCAGAGAAGGCCATGCGGTTTCCACGTGGGCTTCATCCCGACTGCGGGATACTATTAGTTCAGCTGGCGGGACCATTGTCGTTATTATAAACTAAGAGGTTGTTTGGATGAGGAATTGTAACGAGTCAATTTGACGCTGAGATAATTGTATCAAATTGATTTGTTCGCCAGCAAAAAAATGGTCTGTGGTATTTTGAATTGATCCATTTTGAGTCAATTTCAATTTACCTGAGGATCGGATTGGATCCAATGGATTGGTACATTGATCTATATATCCAAATGATATCTAAGTCTTAGACCATTATGTAAACTTCTGATTGGCTTGCATGTGAGGAAGACAAGACGCGATTTATTGTTCTATTTTTGTCAAGGGTTTGAGCTCCACCCATAGATACTAGGATTTCAAAGAGAGAGCCACCCTTTCGCTTAATGTAAGCAATAGGTTGAACTCGATTAACAAAAAAATCATGTGTAAGTGTGTCTTCTCTCCTTACTCTACTCTATCTTGTTTTTGCTTCTCAATGGCACGCAATCTTGTTGATCTATGATTGAAGACGACCAAATAAGGGTCGGAGCCCATCTAGTTAAACTCTTATGTTTTTTTTTTTTATAAGGGTGATATAGGTTTCTCTTTTTGTGATTAAGGTACTACTTAAGGGATTCGAACCTGAGACCTCCAGGTTCTAGACTAGTGGTATTACCCATAGGCGGAGGGAGACCCATTGGGCCTTGTCCTGGGACGGGTAAATTTCGGAGGAACAAAAATATGTCATATATATATGTAATTGGTGATGTAAAACAACGCCTATAGGTAGTATTAGAGTATTTTTGTCACTACAGCACAACTCATTACTTATTCATAAATTAACATAAAATTAATTTATTATACTATAAACGAATTCTAATTGCAATAAAGACCTAATCGGATCTCTTTTCTCCTTATGCCTATTCGATTTTTTTCCCCAACAACCCTGAAATTGTCTAGCGACAACGACAATTCCACTAGTTTTGATTCTACGAATTACAATTGCAAATGTAAAAAGAGCATTTTTCAGCTTTGAGTTATATTAAGAACAAGTTTCCAAGTCGATTTGGCGACCAATTTGCTAATGCTAATTTAGTGAGATACATTGAAAAAGACTTATTTAATAGTGTAGAGGACGAATGTTTTTGCGTTTCTTTAACAATATGAAATCTCTCTGTGGTTGTTAAAAAGAGGACAAGGGTGGTTTGAAATGCTGGCTCCGCCACTGGTATTACCACTAGACCAAGCCCTTGTTCGTAACATGTGTTCTACATCTTCTTTCTAAATCCATCCAAATGATCAACAAAATTATATCAACAACCTAATTTACCTTGTCTTAGTTGAAGGTTGCCTACTTAATTGATTTAGTAACTTCCGTCATTATCTGTGTTGTTAACAAAATCACAAGGTCATAGAGTGAACCAAAGACGAAAGATCCCCTGCCTCTTCCCCTTCAAGGGACCTGCTCAGAGTAGCAGCATAACAAGAGAGCCCCATGTTGTTGGTTATAAAAAATTTCCAGTTCGGGAAGAACAGTAAGAACCCTTTGGTATAGTATCTAAACAAAAGTCGGTGAATTACATTCTACAATTCTTTTTTTTGTCTCTTCTACTTCCCCATTTGGCATGGCTTTCCTACTTTAATCCTGCTTACTGTACAACCCGACCAAAAAGAGAAAAAAGGTGCCTTCCTTCAGTTTCATACTGTCATTACAGCAAAAATTCCTGGTTCTGTTGAACAGCGACGAGCTTCATTTGGAGTTATCAGCCCATTTCATTAGCTATTCTGATGACTGATGTGTATGTGCCAATGACAGCGCTCAACAAGCCCACAAGTACGCTGAAACCACAAGCTGCCAGCTGGTAGAAGATGATTACAAACAGCTTTAGCGAAAACAGGTTACAAACTTCAACCGGTGGTCACCAAAATGAGACATTTTTAAGTAGATGCAGGGTCGAGTTAAGGAACGAATTCATTTACCTCTAACTTGGTCAATCTGTCCTGGAATATGCTGACATAACAAGCACATGGAAGGACGATAGCCTGTAATTTGAAAAATCACAGATAAAAACAAGATTTGAGACTTGACAGAATTGCTCGATGGTTCCGATTCGGTTCAAGGAAAGTGGCTCACCAGAAGCATTGCAAGGAAAGATCCACAGAAGGCCATCACAGAACCTGGAAAAATTATAGAGAAGATAATTTTTCTGATGACTTTGGAAAGAAAGGTCACTCCTACTTTAAGCAGGTGGTTGCAAAAAGCTTACCAAAGAACGGAACTGCCAGAGCCACAAATAAAGTTGAAAGTACTAAAACCGTTCTGATTCCTATTGATGCACCGTAAGATCTGAACCTGCCAGAAGGGATGAGTTCTTCTAAGCTCAACGCAACTGGCATCATGGTCAATGCATATTTTGTCATTGGGTTCACAACCTGCAGCAAGAAAGAAGGATACTTTAATTATACATAATTGGTTTTCAGGATAAAAAACTCAACTTTCAAGGTCAGAAGGGCAAGAACTCTACTGCTGTCCAGACTGCGATATTGGAGGAAACAAGCTGTTCTGGCATGTTCAGGGTAAACTGAGATTTCACTGCATCACCAAACAAGAGATACCCGCATATCGCCACTGCAGTGTACATGAACCAGCAGAAAACAAAGCTGCAAAGTCGAATAATAATCAAGTTGTGTTAGATAATTATATATTTATAAACGACGAGGGATTCCAGTTCTAATCGTCTTCACCTGACAATCAAAACCGAAGGAAACTTTGACGGTTCTCTCATCGAGTAGTAAATGTTTGGGAAAACAGCATGTCCAGAGAAGCAATATCCATATATACCAACTGCAAAAGGTAGATTTCCGAGGTCAATAGCTGTTCCACTTGAATGCATTCCAACTTCATTGGCCATCCCACTCCACACCAAGCAGCCAGCCAGTAGAACCGATGCACCTACTCCACCAACTTTTTCCACAAATAACACACACAAAAAAACCATCAGTTGGAAGACCGTACCTCGTCTTTGATTCCAAGTGAGTGGAGGAGAACAATGAGAAGTTTGGAAGAAAACCTGAAAGGTAGGAAAGGAGGGTAAGGTCTCGGAGCCAAACAGTTGGAAGAACTATGAGAGTTGCTGCAATGGGGAAGATTCGCTGAGCGTCGAGATGCATTCCAACCAAATCCATGCTTGTATTTGGGAACAATGTAGATAAGTTATCACTCGTCATGATTACATACTCCACACAAGCTGCCTACAATAAAAGCTCCCTCCATTTAGTGCAGAAAATTCAAGAGATCAAGATTTCCACCAGAAAGGAAAACGAGACTGTAATACTTACGTATAACTCGAAGTAAAGAAGAATCTGAAGTTAACAAACAAACAAAAGTCAGTCAATTTTACACAAGCAGCCATGGCTGAAGGAGCATTGTATATACTTCATTTGCTTTTTTGTAGAAATTCATGTCAGCATTATATACTCACAGACACGAGTAAGCGACCCGGTAATCCGAAAGCAGCCTGAGCAATGTCAGGATAAGTGCGAGTAAGAGGAGAGCTTTCCAGACATTCCTTCAGCAAGCTTCCAGTGTAGCAGCAGATGATCCCGAAGAGTAAAAGTATGAAGAGGCTAAGCCACCCTCCTTGTTTGACTGCATATGGAGTAGCAAGCAGCCCTATACCGCATAAAATATTGATCCCTACAACCTCAAACGAAAAGGGGAAACTAAAACAGTCATTACTTGAAAAGTTAGGGAGAAAATCACTATAATAGTGTGTGTTTTTTTTTCATTTACCATTGAGAACCGCTTGTGCAAACGAGCTTTGCTTATTATCGTCCTCCGCCGGTGCTTGTGAATGTGGAGATGCAGATGTTTGCCCCACGGGAGATGGGCAGGAGATAACTAGTTTCCCCAAATCCGGCTTTGGGATCAAGGATTCTTTCAGGAAAGAATCCGATTCGGAATCCCTCAACTTTGAAGGCGACAACCCATCAGTGTCTTCCTTCAGGAAGGAAATCGAGGAAGCAGCAGCAGCCACATTGGTGAACATGTCCATTGATGCCCTGAATCGTTCCAAAAAGAGGCAGCATTAATAAAATTCAATGGTGGAAAAAAAAACGAAATTATTCAAGGAAGAGAAGGAATGTGTGGTTCTGTGAGAACCTGAAGCTCTGAGGCCAGGTTGGAGTAGTGAGTTCCATGCTGTGGGAAGAAGGGATTGCATTAGGTGAAGATGAAGTGCTGCCCCCCGAATCTGAGCCATTGCTATCGTCGTCACAAGTTCTCTCCGCTTGGTTTTCTTCATCGTCGGTCTGGAACTGATCTTCCCGATCAGGTCCCGTCCCCAGATCCTCCTCGTCAATCTTCATTATTTGTTTTTAATTTCTCAGTTCGACATTAAGATAGGGAAAGCGAGAAACCCGAAAGAAAGCAGAAACCATAGAACAACTGAACAAAGCATGAACAAATAGGCTTGTTTGTCGCATGGAATTACACGTATAGAAATATCATATACGCTATTTCCTCGGAGATGGATACCAATCACTCCTCATTCTCCGAGTTCCCTCCGCAAACATATATCGGAAAATAGAGAAGAAAATATATATATGGATAACTCCTATACTCCAAGTTCTCCCACCACCATTGATCTAATCTAACAGTCATTATTAATTCTGCTAAAATTAATTATTAACCTAGAAATATAATTATTAACTTCTTCCCTTAAATAATTATAGGTACTTTTAGTGGTGTACAACAGTTTGCAACGGTCCGGACCGGACCAAACTAACGAGAACCGCGATCCATTAGTGAAAGACATCTTAGGACCAAGGATCGAACCAACATTAAGTTCTCACTAATTCATTAACAAAAGTAAAAAATCAAACCTATTCAAGAGAACGAACTCCTAAAAAATAGCCAAATCATACATAAATAATTACAACAAATTTCCTTTTAGGTTTCCTTTGTTATTGCTTCATCATCACCCGCTTCATTATTTTCACTAGTAATAACGTCATCATCTCCATCACCTACTCCACCATCTAGCCCATCAATATATTTTTCTTTTCTTCTCAACATTGTAATGATCCCCGACTCTATTACCTTCACTGTTGACAGTCTCATCCCTCTTCTAAATAGCATCAGCATCTATATTACCGGCTCCACTACCTCCACCATCTATAGGCTTTTTCTTCATTCAAAACTTAAATGCAATGATAAAATGCTTGCGAGTTGAAATATCATTTTCAAGCCATCGGAATTTACCTCGTCGAGCTCACTATCATCGGTGGCGTTATTTTTTTTTTTCTTACTCATCCTTATGACATGAGTACCCATATTGTCATGGTTTATATCATAAAATCAAAATTTTCCTATTGGTTAACTTGGATTATATTAATTTGGATCTAAAAAATTGTTGCAGGATCGAATTATGATTTTATATTTGTCTATTTAGTTTTAGCTTGGTGGATCTTAAGAAATTATAAATATATTATAAATAATTTATGAAGTTTCTTAATATTCGGAAATATTATAAGCATTGCATTCTAAAGTTAAAAGGACTCGTATTAATATTATTATAGTTGAATATGGATAAAACTATTATTATTATTATATTGTTTACCGTGGGTTTATTCATGTATTGTATACTAAAACTATAAGGACAATTATTATGTTTATCATAATAGTTTAATTAGAAGTCAACTTATTAATTACATGGCGGAAAATCTATGCAAAAAATTATAATTTTTTTAATAATTAGAATGAGGAATGACAAATATATCCTTCCTAAAAACACTAGGCTGGAAATTCTGAATGAAACATGTTCTCGTGAAGAACTTCTATAAATTAGTGGTAGGATTTTGTAGTTGAGAACAAAGAGTCTAGACAGCGTAGTGCTGAACAATGTAGCTCTTACTGTAAGAATTTTTCTTTGTAGTACAGAGCTGAGAATTCGGAGTCAAAAGCTTGGTTCAGTATTTAATATAGTAATTAAGTAGCAACAATGTGAAAGCTATCAATTCCTTGCAAAAAAAATGGAGAACAATTTGATAGCTCAAAGTAGGGAACTTTGCTGAAGTACTATTACTTGATTTGGCAATAATAAATCACCCGAATACCAGAGAGCTGCTGGGTAATTGCAAAGAGAGCACTCCATTTACCAAAATGCTAGTGTATAACCTAACATTATGTATCAAATGGAGAGCTGACAAAAGCCCTCAGGGTCCATTTGATTACTGATGTTTGCATAAAATTGTTCCTATCCTTCATAAATCGTCTAATTCTTTTGTTAGAACACGACTATTCTTTTGTTCCTTCCTTACAGGCACATTAAGCCATTCAATGAAATCTATTCACTCTAAAAATTCTAACTCCCAAAGGGAGAGGTGAAACTAGAGATGCATGCGGATTCAAATATCTGTAACTCTCTGGGGAGAAAGAAAAAAAAAACAGACTTCACAATATGAAATTTGAAGAAGCACCTGTCCCTTGTGATGTTAATGCTACAGATGCTACGAAGGTGGCCAAGCTGGACAAAACACTGGCATACTATACTTGTAGCTCCATTTTGGACAACCGAATCCCCTGCCTGAAACCAGCGATACTTCAATAAGGCAAAATCGGTTGGCATATGAAATTCAAACTTCAGAGTATCAATTTTTAAAAAGTATACACACCTGAATTTAAGGTAGTTATGTCCTCAATCATCAGTAAAGCAGTCAGCAGATTAACAATGATTGTAGCAGCATACTCGATTGGACTATCTATATCGACTTTGAGCCAGACAGCCTCCTGCTTCGGACATAAGTCTGCCATGTCCCTAACCATCACAAAGTTGAACCTCTTAATAAAGCAACCAGAAAAACTGCATTTGATATTCTCTAATCAAGCCTGCTGCCAGTCAATGCGAGTGTTGCTAAGTGACATTCACTAATCTTCTCGTTGCATTTCTTCCCCAACTTAACAGAAGTGGCAAGTTCATCCAGTTCTATTCCAAAACTCAATGCTTCTTCAACATACAACTAGATGGCTTTATTCCGGGCCTAAAAAGTACCAACAGTCTAGGAAGTTTTCATCTCAGGAAAAGAGAGAATCGGGTTACCGGAAGAGGGAGGAGACCGAATGATACGATCACCTGGAGAAAATTCCTTCACTGTTCAGCCCACAGAATACACCACTCCAATCTCTTCGTGTCCTCCAACTGCAGGCACCGGAGACCGTAAATCACATACTCCTACTCCAACAATTCAGAAATATGAAATGCCTGGTACAGAATTAGACTCTATAGGCCAAATATATGTGCCATTATACCTTCAATTCGATTGATATCAGAAGGATTAATCAGTGCAGCTAGCATCCTACCGCAAATATGGTTCTCCTTCAGTAGTTCAGTTCCACCAGCAACAACTCGACCATCCTAAATGAAGTGAGCACACTTACACAACTATCACATCAGTGCAATGTCAACCGTTAACCTAACTTCGTGCACCGAAGTTCATATAGCGGGTCACCTAACAACGGAATCGGGCTGGGCGTGCTGGTTGTAAACAATGGCCTTGGATGGCGGAGCCATGAGTGCTACCAATCAATACAGCCCTGCCGAGATTGGAAGAATCAATACAGCCAATCAATTGGTTAGGAACAACTGAAATCTGATCCTCTTCGAGCCGCCGAAGCTTATCTCAAATGAAACCTTCAGAAGATCAGACATGGGATCAAAGTGGAGGCCTGAGTGAGGGGTGACTTACACAGTTACACTCCGGGATTAGAGGGAAAAGGAAGATCAGAAGGAATTTAGCCGCCGTGCAAGTCCTTCAAGGATGTAGTCGAGGAAACGTCTTCTGCAACACTATTTCAGTCCCTCAATCACCGAATCCACTCTGTCGATGAGCTTTCTTCTGTCCCTGCTACAGTCTCCCAATCACAATTAATCTCGTTGGAGCTCTCGAGTTTCACCAGCTCTCTAAAGCCGCGAGCAGAAACGACAAGAAATTGATTGGTATCCAGCGCCTGATACAACCACGGGGCATGCGGAAGAAATCGACCGATCGGCCTCCTTCATCTTCGGCATCTACACACAACCAGCTAATCCTCTGGTGGCAGCACCAGACGGTGATGGGTCCCGACGGCAATGGTGAATCGCATTCGCAGGAGTCAAGCCTAGAGTGCGAAATTGGGAAGGATGCAAAGTTGTCAACCCGCGGGTACACCCGGGTTGACCCACTTTGACCCTCACCCGGTGAGAAAAACGAGTCACGCGCATTTATCGGATCGACCGCTATAAGGTACTGGGTTGGAGGTCAAATTCTGTTATTTTTTTCTTTGGTTATCGAAATGCGCTTATTTTCCGATTTTTCTTTTCGCCTAACTCAATCTTTGGAATTCTAAGTTGAACATTTGAATATTAATGTTATATAAGTGTGTGTGAATTTTCACTATATGTTGGATCTAAGTACGACATGTTATTTTGGTGGAATATTATATGTTATAATTCATATGTTAGATGATATTTGATATAATTTATCAGGATAAGTACAATATAATGACTACTTTCATATTTCCGGGCTAAACCGGGTGACCCATTGACCCACTAGCTCGATCGGGTCCGGGTCAACCCTCGGGTTGACAAATGGCAACAACTAGGCTTGAGGCTTGACAACCTTGACCGACCTGCCAGCTACGCACCCGAAACCGCCCAGATAGTGACCATTTTACCCATCCGACGTAGGTAAATGGCGAATTTGAGTATTGCCCGAAATCTGTGAGTACCAGATAACGGATAGCGATGGATGTCGTGGTATCTGCTCCGACACTGTCCTGTCTTCCAAAACGACGTCGTATTGGATCTCAGTATATAAATTAAACAAAGGACAAAGAAACCTCATTCCCTTCCCTACTGTCTCTCCATCGATCCCCTAATCATTCATTTCGCTTAAAATTTCCACCGATTCCCCATGAATTCCTCTCTATCCAGATTGTTTATACTTCGATAATTCCCAGTAGGCAATCATTATCCTGCAAATTGGCTAATTGGAGGCTAGTTTTGCTGGCAATTTCTTCGAGAAACAAAATGCAGAACCCTAAAATGCTCGTTTTCTCCCTTTCCTTCCGTATTCTATTGCACCTTCTTCTTTCTTCTCATATATATCAACCCTGCGATTAATTTTAGGATTACTGGTCAGTCTCAATACTTCCTTATTTCATTACCTTCATTCTCCTTAGAGGACGGTTGAGGTAATCATTAATAAAACTTCATTTCTTTTAGTTTATTACTACATTAGCTAGGTCTTTATCAATCGAGGAATGCTAATGTGATTTGGTTTGTTTTGACTTTGTTGGAGTTCATCAGGTTCGCATCAGGCATCATCTCACCATCTACATCTGGTCAACAAATCCTCGCTCTCCATATTACAAGTTAGGCATAGCCTTACTCCAAATCAACTACGGATTGTAATTTTGTAATCTGTATGTGTTTGGACTAAGGGTCTTGGACTAGGGATTGTGCAGGTTGCATGTGTCGATTGCTTGTGTGCTCTGTTTGAGTCGTGGTGGTTGATTGATTGCTTTTGTTTTATAGTTTATGTAGATGGACAGTTCAATTGAAAACGACGCTTTTAATGTGAATGATCCTCCTGTGCTTACTAATCAAAACTCTGATGGTAATGGTAATGGTTATGGTAATGTTAATGATAATGGTAATGCAAATAGTAAAGGTAATGTTAATGGTTATGGTTATGGTTATGGTAGTGATGTCTTGGCAAATGGAAATGAAAATGTTGAAGTCATTCTTTAGGAAGATCGTAAATTGATCTCTAATGTCTGGCCACATTTTGTTATGGTGAAGTTTAATTGGGAAATTAAAGCTAAGTGTAGGTACTGTAAAAAATGACTAGGTGGTGATACTAGTAATGGAATCTCCCACCTGAGGAAGAGGAACTATTATAAAACTTGTACCCAAAGAAAGATACATGATGGTAGATAAAGAGTTCTTGGTCTTGATTACAAACCAACTGGAAAACCCCTCTTATCTCCTACTCAATTCAATTCTAATGTGTCTAGGAAGTAGCTGTGTTCTATGATTATGGTGCATGAGTATCCCCAAAACATTGTTGAACACTTGTTCTTTGCAACCACAGTTCACTGTGCCTTGTAGAAGTACAGTAAAGAAGGACATAATGGGGTTATATGGGATTAAAATGCAAAGTTTCAGAAGGTTCTAGATGGTCATATTAGTAGAGTTGCAGGGACTACTGATATGGGGACTGCAACCAATCCAAAGAGGGGGTTTACTGGCCATTTTACTAACAATTCTTCTGGTCATATTGGTCGATCTAACCCCAAACTGGTTTGACCCAATTAATCCGGTTCAACCAAATCCCAACGATAGTATGACAAGATAGATGGGGAGGAGGATGAGGAAGAGGCGATGGTGGTGAATGGTAGGAGACATGGTAGTGAGGAAGGGATTTGAGAAATTTGTTTCATAAAAAAAATCATTTGTTTGTGTTTATTTGAGGGGTCTTTTCTTATTTCATAGTTTTGTTTTCATTTTTAAATTGTAAATAATGTATAAAAAGTATTCGAATTCGAATTTTTAATAATTTTCATGATGGCATCACACGTTGATTGTCAGTCATTGTTGTGTCATCAAACTTGATTGTCAATCCACGGGGTAGGGCCAACATAGTTCAAATAGTGTAAATTGCAGGCCAGTATGGGGATTTTAGAAAATCCTGGACAAATTAGTGTATTAGTATAAAGTTCAGGTCATTTTAAGGTACAGACCATTATTTTTCTTAGAAAATTACATTTTAGAAATTACAAATTGAATTTCTATTAATTTCATTCTCTCCCTCAATTATGCTTCTTCGTTCTCCTCTCTGCCTTTCACTAGCGACCTATCTGCCTTCCTCTGACCTTCTTCTCGATTCTTTTGTCTCCTCACAGACATACTAGTAACAGTTCAAACGAACAAATACCACTGCAAAAAATTACCAATTGAGGAAAATAACACCACTATGAAAACAAAACCAGTACTACTATGAAAATATAAGAAAAAATCAGTACCAAATTGAAACACCACCACTATAGAAAACAATGCAAAAGAGAAAATCAATACCAGTTTAGAAAAAAGCAGTACTATTATGTGAACAAAACAAAAATCATTACTATTCATAAAATCCAACCTCCCTTTGATAAATAATATCACAATAAAATAACTCATATCTGAATTTTGAAAAAAATACAAAACCAGTACCAGTGTATTTGAGAGGAAGATAGAATGAGTACCAACATATATAATAAAAACCACTACTAGAATAAAAATCAGATATACGTTCGAAAAAAAGAAGAAGAGAAAACCAGTACCAGAAAAAATAACTCTATAACACTAGACCAAACTCATATTAGGGATGACAATCAAACCCATGATCGCATGTACTCGACTGTCCCCTACCCAATGAACGAGGGAATCCCCGCATAGACTTGATATGGGACGAGTATGGATAAAACTCACAAAAAGTTTGATGTGTATGAGGCGAGTATGGTTCTAGCCTCCATTGCCCCATACTCATACCCATACCCCGCCCACCAAGAACATTTCTTCACATCTAAAAAAATACATGGATCAAATTGTAACCTATTAATGATAATGAAGGTAACTCAAGAAAATTGTAAGCTAGTTCGCCTTTCCTTCAATTCTCCCTGCATTGTTTCACTATTCTCTCTTGTTAATAAGATAAGTATGTTAGTTAATTATTACTTAATAGATGTATCAGAGTCAGAATTCTCCAACTTGGAAAATATTATACTCTATCTTATGAATTAATATAATGGATAAAATAGGATCATATAATTTTAACGGTATTCAGAATTAATTATATATTTGTTGACTTCATGATAGAGTAGGTCCGTTTAGTATTATTATTTAAAGTTTATACGTAGATTCTTAGGTATAATAATGTTGAATGTACGGGGCATGTATTACCAACGGGTACATGAATGAATTTGAAAAACCTTCCTCACATGGATATGAAGCGGGTACGAGTTTGAATATTTAAAAACGGGGATGTGGACGATTTAGACGAACTCGCTTCATTCCCATCCCTAACTCATATATTTGTCATCGACGTTAGATTAGTCGGCGAGAGAAAAGACCGACGGAAAGAGAGACATTTATATAAAGAGAACTAACATGTAGAAAGCAACTCGGAGAGTGTGGACACACGAAGAGACAAAAACATGTTGCTACCTATAAAGGGTTTGCAACTTTGCATCCTAATATTCCTAACCTTCCGAAGAAATTAGGAAAGAAAATGTGGTTTACTTCAGCTTTTAAACTTACATTTTATTTAAAGTGAAAATAAAAACACTCAAATCTACAGCTGTTTATTCGTTAAAAGTACATGGCTCGCTAATTTTTTCTTTTTTCTCTAAGAAAAAAATATAATAGATCGTAAATATTCGTGATTTAGTGATATCGATCATAATTCCTTCAAGGCAATAGAGCATATATCCACCGCACCATCACCAAGTAATTTTGAGACAAATTTTCTTTTTTCCAATATCATAGAAATCAAATGCAAACATGATGACTAGCAAACATAACAACATACATATAGAATAGAGAGCTAGCAAACATGATGACTAGCTCTAGCTAATAGTACTGCATATCCATCAGTCCATACGATCCATACCCAATAGCACCATACTAAATGACAATAACACCCTCACATTCATATATAACTAGTACTCAAGTAGCTAGAGTAAGCAAACACCGGCGAACTCCGGCCGGCGGCGGTACACCTGAGAATCAGAGGTGTGTCCCCTCCGGTGGATGGTTCCTGATGAACCGGATGGTGATGCGGCCCTCATTCCCGACGCCGCAGTGGCAAAGAGCAGCGCCGGGATCGTCCAGCAGGCGGTTGCCGAAGTAGAGCAGCATGTCGTCCGGCCCAATCTCCAGCAGGCCCATGGTGTGGAGCTTGTCCAGAATCTCCCCCCTCACGTAGCCCACGGCGGCCGTCTCGTAGCACATGATGAAGTCGCCGCCCAGCCACGGCGGGTACCCTTCGTAGTGGAGCATCACGCGGATCGTCTTGGGCTCGATCTCCAGCAGCAGCTTCGCGGTCTCTCCTCCGGCCTTGATCCCGTAGGAAGCCAGCGTCCGGTCGTCGTCCATCTTCGCCTGCTGCTGCACCAGCGGCGGCAGCACGTGGAGAGTAAGCCTCCAGGCGGGGACGTTGCAGTCCGACTCGATCCGCTGCTTCACGTCCGCCACCGTGGCCGAGGTGGGGAACGAGTAGGCCCATGGGAGCCCGTGGCCTCCGGAGATCTCCAACTTGCACTGATCAGCGTCGCTGCTGCTGCTGCTGCTAGCCATCTTCTCAATTGTTGTGGAAGGTTTCGACGACGAGAAAGCTAGGTAGGGAAAGGTTTGACTGATCACGACGGTGGATAGGGATGCTTAAAGGGTTTTGAGTGTTTGTGTATTATATGGTAGAGGGTCATGCCAAATAGATGGAGGTTTTGGAACTCTCACGGAAGATTTGTGTTTGGTTTCCGACGGCCAACCATTTAATTTGCATGCATGCAGCTTAAACAGTAGTCGATCGAGTCCAGTCTCAATATGGGCTGATTTGCATGAGGACGATCCAATCATCATATTCTTATTTTTCCAACTACTACCAGAGAGGCGCCAATATGCACTACAACAGAAACTACCTTTTGTGACGAGTAAAAATGGTCGCTAAATGTCATATTTTGGTGGCGAAAACTATGTTGTGACCAAAAAAATTTGGTAGTAGCTTTGGTCATATTTGCCGCGTTAGGAAAACCAATTCCTGACCAATTTTTTGATTTGGTCACAATACAGTATGTTTTGTGACGAACTGTTCCAATTGGTCACAAGTTTTTTTTTTTTGCAACCAAGATAATTGGTAACAATAAATCTGTAAAAATAGTCACAAATGAATACCTGATTGGTCACAAATAACATGAAAACCAACCAATTCATATATCATTTACCAACCAAATGATTAAGTCACAAAAGCAATTATTTAAAGCCAAAAATTTTGGTTACAAAACTATTCTTCATAGCTAATGTAATTATCATTAAGTAACCAAAATTTTTGGTTATGAAACTCTTATCCTTACCAATATTTAATGGTCACTATATAATCCAAATATGAATAGTAATTTTGGTTGTAAAATGTATATAATGTAACCAATCTATTTTCATTGGTCATAAATATTATTTCCAACCATGTTTATGGTAACCATACGTTATAAATGTGACCATTTTTTTGGTTATAAAATGTTCTAAATATGACTTCAAATTTGGTTATATATATTAGTTGAGAAAGGCTACTAATTTGGTTATTATAGCATAATCGTAATGAAACCAATTTAGTCCATAATGGTCACATTATATTTCCAACCAAATACCAACTTACATTAGTTCATAGCAGTACTAATTCATTAAAAAAATACAAAAATAGAAAAAAATGAGAAACTCCAATCTGCCAAAGAAATCACTTCGGCTTGAGAGGTTCCTAACTGCTGCAGTTGACATGATCACCCAACTCCTTTAAATTCTTCTGCCCCTGTTCGAAATACCTGCACCACAGTACAAATTGAGTGAATAAAACAAGATTCTTGGTTCTCAATAACCGATCAAAACTGTATGATGATCCTAACCATCAACTGTTGACTACTAAGTGGCATCCCAAGAAACTACAGCAACATCCTAACAACAGCTACCTGTTGATAAGTCAAAGGCTAAAACAACTAATTGAGTAGGCTCAGGGGAAACAAACCAGTCAACAAAAGCAAACTCGATTTAAACTGAGCTTAATCTCAGCTGATCCGGAAATGAGAATGAACTGCGATCCATGGAATGCTACAACTACTAACCTTGCCGATAATGGAGTTCACAGATCAGTCCATTCATAGTTTTCTATCTATCTAAAGACTCTTGATGGATAGAAAACATACATCACAGCTTTGAACATCATGGTAGCAAAAATTAACGTGTTTGGATCCTTTGTAGTAAATAGAAGAAACCAAACACACACTGAAAAGAAAGAGTAGAATCTTACAGGATTTCACTTGAGCTCTTCTTCATTCATTCCCATCCCAACTATACGATCTTGCTTGTATCCTTATGGGTAATGGCTGACCTAAACACAAAATTATGACCAAGATTCTGTTAAAATGTGCAGAGCACATAAATCAGGGTGTGGAATGTTATAGGGATAAGAGTTTCTTACCCAACTGCTACACATGTCCAGGATGCATACACCTGGAGTATTGCTAGGAGGGAGAACCTCTGAGTAGTACTTTGTAAGTGCAGTTAAATCAACCTGCTTTCATCTCTAGCTGTTAAAACAACCATAACGCCATTAGAAGCCAACTGCCTACAAATCTCGAACCCAATCCCCTTGTTCCTCCCGTCACCTCCAGGAAAACCACACAAAAAACGAGCAATGAGAAAATTGAACAGTTCTTTTCAATGCAGTTCAAAACGACGAAGCTACTAAAAATGAGAAATTGACTTGTAATTCTGAACATCGTCGTCGCGGCCGGTCTTGACGCGTTGTGGTTCCTCCTCCACAGCGCCTTGGAAGAGTCGAAGGAGATCCCGAGCACGAAGGAGAGTGAGCGACGACGCCGGCAATATCGCGGACGAAGGATGAGCGGCGGCGGCAATCTCGCAGGCGAAGGATTGAGCGAGTCGAAGGTGCAATGTCGACATTGTCTTGTACTTCTTCAGAATCGACCACTTCAGGAGGTGCTATGGGGACATTCTTCTCCATTATTCGCTTCCTTCTGCAACCATACAAGAAAAAAGGATATGCTACTTAGGATTGCAGAACAAAAATCCCATTAATGATTCCGCTGTGCAAACTGATACAACAGAGAATGTATCTTACAATTTCATTTCTTAAGACAACAAAAGCTTTACGTCCTTGGCGATGGGAGGCCTTTACAGTTTACACGCTGTCGGTTCTGTGTGTTGGCAACAGCAACACGCTTCAAATGAAAGAAGTAACAAAATTAGTAATGAAATTTTCTGGGCGAACACAGATCAATCAATGTACAGGATCTCAACTTTCAAGCTGTCATAAGAATGCAGACAAAAACAAAAACACCAACAAGTACTGCCCCACTTCTAACCTCTCTATCCATCTACTTGAAAAATGTCTGGCAACCCCTAAATCAAACCTCTCCAGTGCTAATGATATGGGGGAAAGCTCTCAACTTTTTCATTATTTCTCTAGTTGCCATGAATACACAGGAGAGGAGTCAAAGTTCATGCACCTGTGGCTTCTACTCATAACAAACCTTTTGCTGTTAATGAATCCCTTGATGTATTTACATTTTAAGCCTGACAACCCCTAAATCAAACACAACCATCAACTTAAGCCTGACAACTTTCTGCATATTCTATTTTGAAAAATAATCAAACTCGAATTCATCGATGTCAATACCTTAGCTTTGTCACTGAGCCAATAGTCAATCAAATCGTCCCAGTTCTTTTGGCTTATTCCAGGAGGCTTCATTGTTCTAGCTTCCACTGCATCCCTGCACTCAAGGAATATCTTTTTCAGCTTGGAACGTTGCTTCTTGACTTGGATTTGCAATAACCCATCGATAGAATCTTGGACAGCCTCTTCGCTGATATCTTCAACTTGCAGATGCCTATCACCAGTAATATATTAATCAACAATGTGTTCATGGTAAAAGAAAACAATCATAAACAAACTATACCAGCTCCTAATAATAAAATGCAATCACTATAAATAAATTAATCTTACATTTATTCTGTCATAAGCTGAACGCAGATGGTTCTTCTTGAAATCCTTAGTCCAGCGGATAGGGATCTCATCCATGTATTCTCGACTTATCAAACCAAGCTCACTTGAAAGTTTGGCAGATTGGACACCATTAACTGGTCGACCTTGTGAGACATCAATTGTAATTGGAAATTTTTCTTTCCCCATGGCAGCAGCCAGTTTCATCGTTTCCAAGCCTCTTGTTATACCTCTAACCTTCTTCTTCTTCTTTCGATTTTGATCTATACATTTAAGTAAAACCACTTGGCGATGGGTTTCCCAAACACAGTGAATAAAATGCGAATGGGCTTTTGTTGGTATTGATGCCTCAAATTAATTCAAGACTTGGAGTTATGGAAGACACTTGAGGTTACTTGGGGTTATGAAAGTTAATGACCACATGGAGTTAATTGTGTGGAGTTTCCATTTGGTTAATGGGAGTGCCGTTCACTTTTTCTTTGGCATCTCATAAGCCATTTTGCATGGCTATAAATAGAGAGTCTATTGTTGTTGAATAGACACACCAATTCCATCCAACTCCTTTATTCACCTAAAGTGTAGAATATCTTCTTGAGTACTTTTCTTTTATGTTGGGAGTTTTCTACTTACTCCACAACTTTGTACGTTGAAGATTATTCCTTGATCATAGTGGATTTACTGGCTTGTCCAGCCCGTGGTTTTTCTCCCTCTTCTTTGGAGGGTTTTCCACGTAAAATTGGTGTCTTGTCTTTGTTCATTCTCTTCTCTATTTTCTTGTTAGATTTCATATTGGGTTTGCTTCCGCTAGTGCTCATTTATATCCAGGTTCAAAAGTCTTTAAAAGACAACAAGTGGTATCAGAGCTCTTGACAACCAATTGAAATCCTCGACAAGATGACTGCAAAGTTTGACATTGAGAAGTTTGATGGCAAGATATCATTCTCGATATGGAGAATTCAAATGAAGGCAATTTTGACACAAAATGGTGTTCAAAAGGCTTTACTTGGTCTCGAAGCCAAACCAGAGACCTTGACTGATGTCCAATGGGAAGAGCTCGATGAAAAGGCTCTTACTGCTATTCAATTATGCCTGTCAAAATCGGTTTTGCAGGAGGTGGTGAGTGAGATAACTGCAATTGGACTTTGGACAAAATTAGAGTCACTTTATATGACGAAAAGTCTCGCTAACAAGCTTCGTCTAAAAGAGAAGTTGTACACTACTCGTATGGCTGAAGGTACTCCAATTCAAACCCATCTTTCTACCTTCAATTCCATTGTTATGGACTTGGAAAATATTGACGTGAAAATTGAAGATGAGGATAAAGCTGTTTTATTAATATGCTCATTGCCCCAGTCCTTTAAACACTTTAAAGAGATCATGCTCTATGGAAATATGGATACTTTATCTTATGAAGATGTAAAATCTAACTTACTGTCAAAAGAAAAATTTGACTTTGAGTCCAGTTCTAATGACAAAGGTGAAGGTCTATTTATAAGAGGAAGATCCAAGGAAAAAGGGGAATCAAGCAAAGGTAAAGGTAAAGCTCGATCCAAGTCACATGGTCGAAAATCTGATGATGGGCAGTACTGTCGCTATTGTCGCAAAACTGGTCATGAAATTTCTAATTGTTTCAAATTAAAGGCCAAAGAAGAAAAGAAAAAGCAATCTCAAAAGGCTTCTGAAGCCGGAGAAGCTAGTATCGTCAATGACGATTCTGATGATGAAGGTTTGGCAACAATTTCTTCTTACGATGGCAGTAATTCGGATGTTTGGGTTCTTGATTCTGCATGCACTTTTCATATTTGTCCCAATAAGAACTGGTTCAAAACACTTAAACCTGTTAATTCTGGTGTTGTGCTAATGGGAAATGATGATCCTTGCAAAGTTCTTGGTATTGGTACAATTGAAATGCGTCTTCATGATGGGGTTGTCAGAACTCTTTCTGATGTTCGCTATGTTCCTGACATGAAGCGAAATCTTATTTCTTTAGGCACCCTCGAGTCTCTTGGGTGCAGATATGGAGCTGAAGGTGGAGTTCTTAAGGTATCTAGAGGTTCTCTTGTTCTGATGAAAGCTAACCGCATTGGTATGATATATGTCCTGCAAGGTTCTGTTGTTACAGGTTCAGCAGATATTTCTACCTCGCTGCTTGATTCGCATAATACTCAATTATGGCATATGCGGCTAGGACATATGGGTGAAAAGCCAATGACAGTTCTAAGCAAGAGAGGACTATTGGGGAACCAAAATTTTGGGAAACTTGACTTTTGTGAACATTGTATCTTCGGGAAGAAGAAAAAGGTCAGTTTCTCTCCTGCTTCCCATAGTTCCAATGGGGTGCTTGATTATATTCACTCAGATTTATGGGGACCCTCTAAATTTCCTTCCATAGGAGGTCGTAGATACATGATGACAATTATTGATGATTTCTCTCGTAAAGTTTGGGTTTATTTCTTACGGCACAAAAATGAAGCCTTTTCTGCATTTAAAAAGTGGAAAGTGCTAGTTGAAACTCAATCAGGAAGGAAAGTTAAGAAGCTTAGAACTGACAATGGATTGGAATTCTGTGAAAATGCATTTAATGAATTTTGTTCCTCACATGGAATCGGAAGACACAAAACTCTAGTTAAAACACCTCAGCAAAATGGTGTTGCCGAAAGACTTAACAGAACAATTCTCGAAAGGACTCGGTGTATGATGTCAAATGCAGGTTTATGGCATAGACGTGATTTATGGGCAGAAGCTGCAGCCACAGCTTGTTATTTAATCAACTGTTCTCCACATAAGTCGTTGGATTATAAAATTCCAGAAGAAATTTGGACAGGTAAACCAGTTGATTATTCCAAATTAAGAATATTTGGTTGCCCATCATATTATCACGTAAATGAGGGTAAGCTCTCTCCAAGAGCTAAAAGGTGTTTATTTCTGGGATATTCTATGGAGTCAAAAGGCTATCGTTTTTGGTGTATTGAATCTCACAAGGTTATTCAAAGTAGAGATGTTACATTTAATGAAGATGCCTTATTTTCTGTCAAAGATGGTACTTCTTCGTCCCATGATGCAGAAAATCTTGAGACTCCAAGAGACAAGGTGGAGTTCGAACAACAAGATTCACCTACCCATCTATCTTCTCTAGAGTTAAATCCTAGTGAAGTTCAAAATGAGGAAATGCCACCTCAAGTGCCACAAGATTATATCTTGGCTCGAGATCGGCCAAGGAGAGTTATACAAAAACCTGCTCGATATAGAGATGATGAGCTTGTTGCGTATGCTCTCGCCGTTGCACAAGAAATTTCAGAAGAAATTGAGCCTGCTTCTTTCAAAGAAGCTATATCTTGTGTAGATTCATCTAAATGGCTTGCGGCAATGAATGAAGAAAACGAAAGTTTGTTGAAGAATAATACATGGGAATTATGTATCCTTCCTACGGGGAAGAAAGCACTTTCAAATAAGTGGATATACAAAAAGAAAGAAGGAATTCCCGGTATTGAAGAGGCAAGATGGAGGGCGCGGTTGGTTGTTCGCGGCTGCAACCAACGTGAAGGTATTGATTTCAATGAAATCTTTTCTCCTGTTGTGCGTCACACTTCCATAAGAATTTTGCTCTCTTTTGTTGCTCTCTTTGATTTGGAGTTAGAGCAACTTGATGTGAAAACTGCTTTCCTTCATGGTGATCTCGAGGAGGAGATATACATGAAGCAACCAGAAGGCTTTGTGATTCCAGGAAAGGAGCATATGGTTTGTCGCTTGAGAAAATCATTATATGGTCTCAAGCAAGCTCCTAGACAATGGTATAAGCGTTTTGATACTTTTATGATTGGAAATGGTTATACACGAAGTCAATTTGATAATTGTGTATACTTCCAAAAATTTCCCGAGGGCTCCTACATTTATCTACTTCTTTATGTTGATGACATGCTTATTGCTTCTAAGAACAGAATGTTGGTCGAAAGGTTAAAGTCACAACTAAAAGGAGAATTTGAGATGAAGGACCTTGGAGCAGCAAAGAGGATTTTAGGTATGGAGATCCAAAGAGATCGACAAGCTGGTAAATTATTTTTGAACCAAAGAAAGTACATTGATAAGGTACTTGAAAGGTTCGGAATGATTGATTGTAAGCCCACTTCTACTCCTCTCGCTGCTCATTTCAAGTTATCTGCTGCTTATTGTCCAACAACAAATGAAGAAGTGGATTATATGTCTAGTGTTCCATATTCAAGTGCAGTTGGCAGTTTGATGTATGCTATGGTCTGCACAAGACCCGATCTTGCATATGCAGTAAGTGTTGTCAGCAGGTATATGCAAAATCCAGGAAAAGAACATTGGAATGCTGTGAAGTGGATACTTCGGTATTTGAAGGGAACCCGTGATATGGGTCTATTGTTTGAGAGGAGTGAAAATCCTTCCAACAATATTATAGGCTTCACAGATTCTGATTTTGCAGGTGACTTAGATAAACGGAAGTCTATTTCTGGATATGTTTTCACTCTCTGCAATTCATGTGTTAGCTGGAAATCTTGCTTGCAACCCGTAACTGCTTTGTCAACTACAGAAGCAGAGTATGTTGTTATATCTGAGGTGGTTAAAGAGGCTATTTGGTTACGTGGCCTAGTTATTGAGCTTGGAGTTGAACAAACTGTTTCAACCGTATTTTCGGATAGTCAAAGTGCCATTCACTTGACTAAAAATGACATGTATCATGCTAAGACAAAACATATAGAAGTCAAGTACCACTTTGTCCGAGATGTTATGGTTGCAGGTGATATTAGTGTGAAGAAAGTTCATACTGACAACAATCCTGCAGATATGCTCAATAAAGTTCTTCCTTCAACTAAGTTTGATCGTTGTTTGAACTTAGTTGGAATTCGAAGAGCTTGATTACCTCTCAGGGGTTTCTGGACAAGTCTTTCTAAATTTGATTCAAGGTGGAGATTGTTGGTATTGATGCCTCAAATTAATTCAAGACTTGGAGTTATGGAAGACACTTGAGGTTACTTGGGGTTATGAAAGTTAATGACCACATGGAGTTAATTGTGTGGAGTTTCCATTTGGTTAATGGGAGTGCCGTTCACTTTTTCTTTGGCATCTCATAAGCCATTTTGCATGGCTATAAATAGAGAGTCTATTGTTGTTGAATAGACACACCAATTCCATCCAACTCCTTTATTCACCTAAAGTGTAGAATATCTTCTTGAGTACTTTTCTTTTATGTTGGGAGTTTTCTACTTACTCCACAACTTTGTACGTTGAAGATTATTCCTTGATCATAGTGGATTTACTGGCTTGTCCAGCCCGTGGTTTTTCTCCCTCTTCTTTGGAGGGTTTTCCACGTAAAATTGGTGTCTTGTCTTTGTTCATTCTCTTCTCTATTTTCTTGTTAGATTTCATATTGGGTTTGCTTCCGCTAGTGCTCATTTATATCCAGGTTCAAAAGTCTTTAAAAGACAACAGCTTTTATACCAAAAAGAAGGAGATGGGTTCCATTAAAAGAAACAGTACGGTGGGAGAAAATATGACCAATTATATTTGGCCAGGAAAAATATTTTATTATTTTATGACCAATATTTTTAGTTCTGTAAAGTTTGTTTTGGTCATAAAAAATCTTTTCTTATAAGTGACCATTTTAATATGTTTATGCAACCAAAAATACTAGTTACTTTAAATAGTATTAAGGATGATAAACAAATTATTTTGGTTAGAAAAAGAATTGAACATTCGGCTACTAATTTTTTTGGTCGTATAAATTTTAATTTGGTTATAAAAATTCTTTTTCTAGTTAGTAACCAATTCATCAAATGTTTTATTACCAAAATATAATTGGTCATAAATAATTAATTTTCGCCGACCAAAAAAAAAAATTAAATGAAAATGGTCACAAAAGGCTATATTTGTTGTAGTGATGTCTCCACAGGATTTAGTCATGGTTATTTTCAACTACCCGTTATGTGTAGACATTTATGAATTATGGTATTAGTTGTTAGCCGGTCTGGTTCGGTTATAACAGTAAGTGTTTAATTATTTATCGATTAATCATTGAGCAATATGTATTTACAATTAATTGTAATATTTATATTAGTCGATTAATCTGTAACCGTATAGTCAATCATTGGTTATTTTGTTGATAATCATTAAGCAAAAGATTTGGCAACGTTTGACCAAAATAACCGGTCGGTAACCCAATCAACATAATGCTATTTTTTCAATTGTGTGTTTTTGTAAATTTTTTTCCTTCTATATATGTATATTTCATTGAATAAAAAATTATACAACATAGATATCAATCAATAATTTACTCAATCTATCACAAGTACACAATAACACGATTATATCGTTCGAATTTGATTAAAGAAGCTCACAAAAATAAGATAACGAACAGCAATACTCAACTCATAAACTCCGCCAAATTAACATGGAAATTTAAATGTTGTTGATTGCTCATAAAAAAATTAATAAGGAAAATAAAATTAATTAGGTCCATATCAAAATGAAGACAAAATAAAATTAATAAGAAAAATCATGAATACGACAACAATTACAATGATAATTTATCAAGGTTAATAATCTGATTTATCAGGGATAATGTTGGGAAGTGGTGAATCGATTATGATTTGAATTGATATTGGTCGATGGTGGTTAGTGTGGGAAAACTAGATGGTGTATGTGGAGGAGAAGGAAATTATGCGTAATTTTGCAAATTCTCGGAGGGGAAAGAAAAATTGATCCAAAGATTTGAATCGTAAAATCACAAGATTTTAAAGATTTAAATCTTGAATAGTGTAGGCTTTTAAGGTCCATAGATTTTATAGTGAAATCATAATCGGAACAAGTAAGTCAAATCGTAAAACCATAGGATTTTAGTATTTAAATCGGAATTTCTAACGGTTTTGCCAATGAAGCACCTTACTCATTTTAACCCGTAAGCTCGTAAAATGCCTCCATTCTGCTCAGGTTGCCCTAAAGATCACAGCTTCAAGTGCCCCATAGATTTCAAATGTCTTGCAAGCCTGCACCGACGGGCGACGTGGATGCGCCCCCAGCGGCTCAGCCTGGTACATTATGCCATGACAAGTTGTTGGGCCGGGAATTCAGGTTTCCTTTTACTCGGCCCAGAACCAATCCATGGACACGAGAAAGCCCAAGAGTTTGAGCATGTCCGAATCCAAATCGCCTTCGGCCATCTTCCCTCCCCTCCCGGCAAGTGCCGCAAGGTTTCTGGAACTCTGTAGAACTTTCCGGAGTCACCTTCTCCCGTCATTCTCCTGGTCGGCTACTCGTTCGCCTGCTTCTCATATTTCGCGTCTACATTTGCTTCGCTCGCCGTATAAAGCTCAACTCTTTAGTGGTCATCCGTATCAGATTTTGCTAAAGAAGCGAACTTTTTGTTTTGCGAGAGTGCTTTTTCTTCTAGGTTTTCTTTCTCCGAACTTTGTGAATTGATAATGGCGAAACCAGGACCCGACTGGGATGGGTTGCTCAAGTGGAGTCTTGCCCACTCCGATGGAACTGGGTCGAATCGCAGCCTCAGGTGATGATGCTAGCAGCTTGCTCTTGCTAAATCCTTTTTCCACCTTTCTGCTGTTTAGAAGTAAGTATGGGGTAAAAGCTTTCTGAATTTGGATGCCTGATTTGTTTTAATTGCAGCGAGGAGGATCGAAGATGGTTCACGGAAGCAATGCAATCTCAGACTGTCGATGTGGTTAAGCGGATGAAGGAGATTACGCTGGTTATGCAAACTCCTCCTGAAGTCTTGGACGCTCATGGAGTTACTCCGGCGGAGATTGAAGGTACCGTGCTGGAATTTGCTTTGCTTTGATCTAATGATCTTGAATTGTTGATTTCTGCTGTGAGCTCTAGTTTTAGGAATTAGGGTTGCTTCTATTCTTTCTATTTAGCTAAGACTGCAATCTTCCTTTTGGCAGATATGCTGGAAGAGCTTCAAGACCATGTGGAGTCTATTGACATGGCCAACGGTGAGTCTCCCATGTCATTTATTATTCTTGGTTAGGCTAATTGTTTGTTCCTGGTACATCATTGTACACTTGATTGTTGTAATTATGTTGGTCAAAGGCATCTAAGTTGCTCTTGCCTGTGTTACCTTCATGCTGTATCTCCGTCGTGGAACTAATAGGTTATGATGCGAATGATATATGGGGATGGCATCTGTTTGATTAATTACCTACCTTCGTTCATGACAGATCTTTATTCTATTGGTGGTTTGGTCCCTCTACTTGGTTACCTGAAGAACACACATGCCAACATTCGAGCAAAGGCTGCAGAGGTAGTATCTACAATCGCCCAGAACAATCCCAAAAGTCAGCAACTGATTATGGAAGCAAATGGGCTTGAACCTCTCTTGTCTAATTTTGCGTCAGACCCAGATGTAACTGTACGAACCAAGGCACTTGGTGCAATATCATGTAAGTGGTGTTCTTGTTTGGCGGCCTTGCTTGTGTTAAAAGTAACTAGTTTCGACTACCCATCAGACTATGGGTAAGCACTTATAAGAATTCTCTTGCCTTGATTTCAGCCTTGGTCCGAAACAATAAACCAGCCATCACTGCATTCCGCCTGGCTAATGGTTTTGCAGGCTTGAGGGATGCTCTGAACTCTGATAATGTGAGATTCCAGAGGTACGTTTGAAATACTTGGGCTACATTTTTCTTAACTTATGCTATAGCTCCAACAAGGTTGCTCATAGTTGTCTGTCAAATTACTGCAAATTCCAGGAAAGCATTGAACTTGATCAACTACCTCTTGAAAGAGAACACAGCAGATTGCACCACTGTAAACGAGCTGGGATTCCAACGCATACTCTTACACCTTGCCTCGAGTGAACATGGAGATATTCGTGAAGCTGCCCTTGGTGGCCTACTGGAGCTTGCTAAACACGATGTGGATGTGGAAAAAGTTGGCAGGTCAGCTGAGGAAGACGAGAAATTAAAGGCACTTCTCGAAGAACTGATAAAAGGTATTAGCTTGATGTCCCCCGAAGATCTTGGTGCAGCTAAAGAAGAGAGGCAACTAGTGGACACTCTTTGGGAAACTTACTTCAACGAGCCCTCATCCCTCCGTGAGAAGGGCCTTCTTGTTCTCCCTGGAGAGGATGCTCAACCACCTGACGTGGCTAGCAAGCAATTTGAGCCTCCTCTTAGAGCGTGGGCAGCAGCAAATAAGGACACCGCCGCTGAAAAGAAACAGAATCCCCCACTTCTATTATGAGTTGGCCCTGCCTCAGGATCTGGCTAATGTCTCCGGCCCTAGAGTGCCGAGCAAAAAAGCAAAGAAGCATGAGGTGAAGCAGAGTGCAACTTGCCATCATTGTCAAGACTCCTGTATTCCTGCAAATCTAGTTTATTGATGTAGTACTTCTTTGATGTTAAAGAGTTTAGCTTCAGCAGCACGTTCTCTTGATTCCTGGCCATTTCCTTCCTCTCCATAGTGAATCATCACCTGTTGTATATTTATATCGTTTGTTCATTTTGATACTCAACAGTGCAGGGAACTGAGTGTTCCTATTCGATTGCTAGTAATTTTCACTTAAGTTATATGTAACTTTCATCTCTGAAGTATCTGTTTTAACTATTGAATTCCTCTGTCAAAGCTAGTTTACTGATTAGATGCCAAGTCAGAGCCCAGAGACAGCGATGAGAGAGACCCACTTCATTAATAGATTTACCAAAATGGGTCAAATAGGGTAGCCAATTGGTAAAAGTGGAAATCTCAATAGCTATCACAGAGAATGATATAGTTGAAAGGCTTCAATAGTAAACCCCAAATTTATGACAAATTACAGATATCTCAATTTTCAAATCCATGAATTGTAAGTGAAACAACAATGGACACAAGAGATGACACTACTATTATCTCCAGAACTATACTAAGCGGGAGAGGAATCCTTTTCCATCCAAACTGAAATGCGAAAATGAAAAGACAACTGAGATCAAACATGACTACTGTGAATGACCCAAATAAACTGAAAATCCTATGCAGCTACCTAGCTCCGCCATAACTGGCAGATTGGATCCTCTCCCCCCTTTTTCCTCTTCACTTAGGAGGGCAGAAAGTGATCACATACCGCGAAGCCCTGCACTTGTTGAGACTGGACGAATCATCAAAAGCATAACTATAAGCCTTGGGGCAGATAGCCTTGAACAGATGTGCGAACAGGGTAGGCTTGCAGGTATTTGGATTTGCATACTCCCCAGTACAACAATACTTGGCAGACTGCATAGCCAAGCAGGCACTCTTGCAACCCACGACTCTGCCATCTTTGCTCCTCAATTCCAAGGCCGACGGACAGCACACGTTCACGTCGACTTCACAGGAAGCGACCCCACAACCGACACCACCTCCGACGGGCGCCATTGAAACCGGCAGGTTGAACCCATCCACCAAACTCACGTCGTAGAAATGCAGGGGAGAAGACGAGGAACCCAGGGTCATTTCCACGACGGTTGCTGGGGGCACGCCGCCGAGTCCCTGGCAGTGAAGCATCCCAGAGCAGTCTCCCGTGTCGCAGGAGCCTCTCTTCCCGCTCGGATCGAAAGAACAGCCCTGCCTTCCCCAGATTCTTCCCGACCATTTCTGAGGCACGTCGAAGACTACTTCTTCGCCGCTTCCCAGGTGGAAGCCGCCGTTCAAGGGCGTGGGCTGCCCTGCACTGCCGAGAATTCCAGGCCATATGCTCTCCTTGCAGTTGTTCACCAGAATCAGTTGCTCCGCACCTGCAAAAAACCAACAAGGAAATCGAAGATAATCACAAGATCAGAACTTGTACATGGAAAAAGCTGCTAACTTCGAGAAGAAGAGGTGGCCATGGTGGGTGGTGTTACTTGTATTGGGAATGAGAAGGAGCAGGGAGATGAGAAGGGGGAGGAAGAACGAAGAAGAAACTGGAAGTTGCATTTTTTTTGGTTTTTGGTTTTTGATTCTGGAGCTCTGTTTGTAGTTTTGAGACGGGGGAAGTTCGTTGAAGATGGAGATTTGTGGAGGCAGAGAGGTGTTTAAATATAAAGGCTGAGACTTTTGGTTTGAAGCAGTGAGCGGAAGTTAAGGAAGGTGGGGGAAGTGGATTTGCTACATGGAAACCGCCATCAGGAAAATATGAAGTGGATAGAGTCACTCCTTCTCCCTGGCTTTTTTTTCCTCTCTCTTCTTTCGCCCACTTCTTCCACTTTCACTTTCACGATCAAAGGGCATATATCCGTTGCTTGGGATGTGGGCTTCTTTCCTAAATCAACGCTACCATTCCCTTTATTATTCTACGAACTTAATCCTACGAAGCTAGTAGCAATTAGCAAGAGCATACTGAAACGGAGACAAAAAGAAGCAAAAGCAGAAATCCAACTAGATTGGCTTGCGACAAATGGAACCTACTACTAATACAGAAGTAATCATCATTAAGATAATTCTAAGGTTGGTCCTTTTAAGTTTCTTAACTGCATAGAGAGGGGCTTTAAGGAAAGAAATAATATGGCTACCCCTATTAAAGGGCAAAAGGAGAAGCTAGGTTAAGGGAGCATAATGATGGCTCGTGAGGCTTAACTTTGCTCTTCTTCCAGCACAAGTTCTTTCCTTGTGTAGACCCAAAGGGCATCCGCACAACACTAAGTTGAGCAGTTTTTCATTTGTTCCTGAAGCAGGAATTCAATTTCTGAATAAAATCAGTCTGGTGAGGTGAATACCTTCTTCAGAATGTGCTCTGTCTTATTAATCTTCTGCAGGTTTTAAATAGTGGCATCCTCACTTTTCCTGATGAGACTATTTAATGAAGCTCACTTCCCAGTAACCAGTCTCCCCCGCCCCCGAAACAGATCTCCAAGCTGAATTCTGAAGATGAAAAATCCTGCTTTGAGAACAAAGCCAGCGACAAACCATCTGCATGAAAATCTGAATTCTGTTTCCAACAAAGCTTGAAGCTTTTTGTCAGCTCCCAACCTCATGAGAAGATGTTAAGAGCAGCAGCACACATTCATAAACCAAAAAAGCTCCCATACCACTGTTCTGTTTTGAGTTAGGATCTTCAAAAAACTCATATCCCTAATGAGATCGGGACTCAAATTTTCCTGATGGAGTCCAAGTATTTCCCAGAAATTAGATCCTTCAATTTATCACTGAAGGCATCCCTGCTATCGTCGGCTGAGGAGAGAACAGGAGATACCTTCGCAACCAGAATGAAGTTTTCTCCATTTCCAACGTCTATTTCATACAACTCGCTGAAAATTTCTCTACACTGCTGTATCAAGTCATCATATACCAACCTAATCGAGGGAACAACATTCACTACCAGAATCCCGGATTCAGCAAGGATAGATCTCGCAGCAAACACAGTATGCCTTTCAAGAAATTCCACTGGTGGGGCAGTGATACCATTCCAGGCGTCGGAAGAGTCTAGATCAACCAAAACCACATCGAAACTGCCACTCTCAATGAGACAGCTCTTTTCCTTACCATCACTAGATTGTTTACTTGCACCAGCCAGTTCATCCACAAAATCAAAGGCGTCTCCTACATGGATGGTAATTTCATTATCATCAAGCCCGAAGTACTGCTTGGCGATCCTTAAGACCTCCTTATCCATCTCCACTCCACAAACCTGAAACCCCAATTGGGATCTCAGGAAACTTAGCAGAGCTCCACCACCAATTCCCAAACACAAAGCTTTTGGCCTAAAACCATTTCGAATTCGTGTTTCGATCAAATTTGCAATCAAGGAAAGGCTAGCAACCATGGCAACAAAGTAATGTTGAACCAGAACACCACAGTCAGGCTTGAGGCTCACATTTTCACCTATCTCCACACTAGAACTCGATACCAAAGCTGGAATAAGCCTAATCTCCGTTTGAACCAAGTTTGGCATTCTCTTAAATCTCAATCGCCTCCTGAAATCGCGATTGCTTCCATGATTCTCATCAAATTCAGCCGAAGTATGCTCCATCTCGAGCTCCACATCCTCAACAAGCATTTCACCGACAAATTCCCCAACACTCGTCGTTAAGACCCTCCTAGAAATCACATTGTCTACATATTCACAAATGGGAACATCGGCGAATCCATTCTCTAACCCGCCAGCGCCATCAGTCTTGGGGGACAGAGCCTCTAGCAGCGGTTTCAACATACTTCGAAGCTTTTCAAGAAATTGGGTACCTTGGCTTTCGTCATAGCAAATGACGGGCGACGAATCGGGATCATCGGCGGTAGGGTTTCTTCCTACCAGTACCAGCCTTGAGATTCCGTGGAAGGTGAGGAGTAGCTGGAGATGGCCGGCCTCCGTGGAGAAAATCCAGTCAGATTCGCGGTTCAGGGGAACAAATAGTGCTGCGACTTGAGATGGCCCATGGAGCGGGAAGGGTGAATCGAGGACGGCGACTCGGAGGAGGCGCAAACGGAGATCCGGCCGGGGAATCGTGAAGGAAAGGAAGCGAGAGGGAACTATATATTCGAAGACTTTGACGTCGAGAGCCATTGCGATATCCGGCGGCCGTTTGATCGGAGTCTTTCTTCTATTACTCTCGGAATTGAAACGACAACGACATTTTCACTTTTCAGCAGATGAAGAGCCGTTTCAGGTTTCGCAAAGTCCAATGATATGTGGTGATTCCCAAAATACATAATTTGTTAAAAAAACAAAATTCTAACTTCTAAGCACACAAAATGTCCAGATTTTATAAAATAAGTTCAACAAATTTAGTCACTTTCATTAAAAACTTTAATTCATTAGAAATTGTCAGTCACATTAATACCACGCTACATACCCCATTGGACGGCGAAGTGATCAAACGGGCAATAAAAATGATGACACTTATGAATTCGTAGATCTTCTTTTCATTTCCATCAGTCCAACTTTCATTTTAATTTTCTCAACGTGTCAATGCGCTAGTGCATTACAGATGAAAAATCACACATGCATTAGTAAGATGAAGATTATCCATAGTTGTTTTAGGTATTACAAGACCTCGCGCCTTAGACAATCATTAGATCACCAAACAAGAGACATAATTACTACTATTGCAGACAAGAAATCACAAACAATAGTACATCTATCGGTACGATTGAAGTGGGATAAATCCAAGTCATTCAATCTTAACTCGGTTTGTTTTCCACTAAGAAAACCTAGTTGCACTAGGTGAAGATACCCTAAGCATCATTCCCATTACCTTGCTTTCAACTACTTTAAGCTACTTCTCTTTACTTTTATGCATAATAAACACATCACTTGAGGCACCTCAACCACAATTGACAACTCAGAGCATCTATAGTGGAAACGAAGTAGCGACATTGTTGAAGGCCGTGTGGAATATGATCTTAGATATTTGTTGAGCTTATAATTATTTCTTGAGACAAAATCGTACAAGGAACAATATCCTTAGAGCAACTCATCCATTTTTTGCGAAGGTAAGATAGAGGTTCGTCAGGAATTTTAAGAGGATGTGAGTCGTATCATAAAATCAAGGAAAATTTTCTTGTTATGTGAGATCAGACTTAGCCACAACGAGTATACCCAAAATTTCCTCGATTGGTGGAAGGAAGAGAGGAAGAATGGTGAAGAGTGATGTGAGTGAATAAGGAAATGGGGGTATTTGTAGGGTCTGGGGGTGAACGGTTCCTGCCAGACTGGAGCGATCAAGGTGGTCTCAGGTTCGAATCTCTTAAAAAGCACATAACTATGAAACAAACCTATCTATATCGCACTTATAAAGAAAATCATAAAGCTCTGTTATGAATCGCTTCTAAGTCAAGTGGTCAACCGTCATGTATCGTTCATCCCGCGAGGGTGGAGTGATACGCGTCGTTTCGCCTGTATGAATCAAATGCTTCTAGGGTGAACAATGTTGATCACTGCTAAGTGCATTGTCATGCTATTGATCGCTTTTTGTGTATCCATACCATGTCTATACCCATTTGAGTTTCGGGGTATCCACGGTTATTTATGAGTAATAATTTCTCTTTATAACTCATAACAACATGTTAACATATACACGTATACTCACATTACATAGGTGAAAAAGTACTATAACAATTCATTATAATTAAAAAAATTAATTCCAAACAACATAATTTCATGAAAATATTATATTTGTATGCTAAATATAAAATATATTAAGAAAAATTATGATAATTTATTGATAAAATGCATATGAATGTGTATAATTAGGCGGGTTCTAGTTGGTTAGTGACAAAACTATGCTCACCCATTATCAACAATATTCAAATTAGTATTTTACCCGTATCCACTAAAATCCTTTGGATTCGAATTTAATGCTAGCCGATTACATCGGATTCAAGGAAATATCTATGATTTAAAATATTTTTGTCATCCCTGTCCATATGATATTGAGAATTCTTAGAACAACTTTTTACATTTTGAGGGGGAAAAATCAAATATCTTAGAACAATTCTTAGAACAACTCGTTGACTATAGTTGCGAGTTACACACCGCGCTGCTCCTGGTGGTGACATCATAGCACCGCTTTGAACTGGGAGAAATTGGATTTGCTCTATAATGTAAAATCCACTTTGGCTTTCCCCCGCCAAACCTCACCGTTTTCGCTTTACTGTTCTCACGAACTTCTCCGATCTTCTGCCAGTCTGCCACCCTAATAGAAAAGAGAGCTAATCTGCCGCTGAATTTTAGAGGGTTTTCGAAATTTCCTACCGCCAGCGGTTCCAGAAGAATCGAAGGATTGGATATAGCAAGATGATTCGATCGGTGTTCAGACTATCCCGAGCTGCAACAACCGTCGCAAGGACGGCGCATTCGGGATTCAACTCCCGCAAGCCAGCAATTGTTGCCCCATCGGCGGCGGCGGCGTCACGGTCGCTTCACGAGAAAATCGCCGGTCCCAATGCCAACCCAGTTGCCATTCAGATGATAGACTACGCTCTCTCCCTTCCACGCGTTCAAAAGTCAGGTACTTTTTTATTAGTTTAGTTTCCATTTCTAATTCCGTCCTTTTGTGTCTCGGGGTTTCTGAAGTGAGTTGTCAATCAGAGGAATCGTATGGGGAAGCTATGCTGGTGCTGGAGCAGTGCCTTGCTTCGCAGTCGAGTGATGTTGAAGATTTTGTGACCCAAAACTCCAAGGGATTGGTCCTACTCGCCATGGCCAATCTCTCGTTTGATAGGTTCTGACTTGCTAACCTAGTTGTAGTCAATTTTGTGCATTAGTTTCTCCTGTGATGTTCATGTTGGTTGGTCTTGATGGTTAAGGGGGAACTTTAACGAGGCATTGGAGCATCTACGGAGAAGTCATGAGCTGGAGAAGGCATCTTTGGGTGTTAAAGGTTGAATATTTCTCTTTCTCTTAGGTACTTCTTAAAGGGAATTGGTGATACAGACGTATAGTTGTGTTGTGTTGCAGTTGCTGCATTGGAAGGTCTTGTTGGACTGAGCTTGGAGTTGGGGAATGTAAGTCATCTAGACAATTTCTTCTCTTACTTTGTGATTGATGTTTTGTTTTTCTTACCCGGGATTTTGAATTTATCTGGAGATGGTTCTCCCTTATATAGGATGATGCTTCAACAGTGCTCGCAGATAAATGTTTAGAACTGTTGGAAAAAGACGAGTTAGCCAGTACCAGTGCTGGTTTTGAGGTTGCAGAAGCTCGTGCTAAGGCACTCAAAGGTTTTGTTGAGTTTGTTCGTGGCAATTTTCAAGCAGGTTTGTTGCTTCAAATGGCTTTGCTTTTCGTGGTTTTTGGTGCTAATATTATGTCGTCTAATTAACTCAAACCCGTGGCTGCTTGTACATAGCGGAATTACTGTTTGGAGGATTACAGGGAAATGATCACTGTGCTGGTAAGCATCTCAGTTTTGGCTTTTAAGCCCCCTTGGAATGTACACTCATGGACTGCATTACTGATTTCATGTTTTATAGGGTCTGCTGCTTTGTCATATGGAGAATTCTTGCATGCCACACGAAATTTCTCAATGGCAAAGGAATTGTATCAGAAGGTTACTGAAGGTGAGGCTGGGAACAAAGGTTTCAATGACATCAATGCATTAGCAGCTTGCAACATGGCTTCAGATCAAGTTCAGATAGCAGCCACTTGTGCCCTGGGACAGCTTGAAGCACACATTGGGTACCCTTCTACTTCGTAGTGCTTCTTCTGTAAACACATTTACTTTTATATCTAATATCCGTTTTCAGGAAATTTGGCGATGCGGAAGAAACATTAACCAAAGCACTAAATAAGGCCGAGTTATTATATGGTGCATCACTTCAAACTGTCCCTCTCAGTTTCTGCTGTGAAAAGATTTCATCCTTGATATCTTGTTAATCTCATTTCATTATCGGCTATATTCTCATGTTCCTGTGGTTTAGGTCCTCGCCACCCTAGGGTTGGAGTGGTCTTGACTTGTTTGGCACTCATGTTCCGACAGAAAGCGATACAAGAGCACTCAAGCTCTCTCTTGATTCAGGAGGTCTGATTTCTGACATTCAATATTTGTCCAGTCTTAGAATCTTGCTATGACTATATCTGTCCCCGGCTTAGCCATTTATTCATAGAGTTTAACTCATTGTTTCTGTCCAATCTTAGAATCTTGTTATGACTATCTGTCATCAGCCTCTAAGCCGTTTATCACGTGGCTTTAACTCTGATCATTCACTCATATGCTTTAATATGCTCAGGGGCTGTATAGAAAGGCAATCGAGTTGCTGAAAGTCCCATCGGTGGATTCTGAAGGTACTCGAGAGTTCTTTTTGTCTAAGGTCCTTTTCCCACTTTGTTTTGATCATTAAAACCCAAAGCTGATATTTTTTTAACTTCCTAGTTAATCGAACAATGGGAGCTTGGAGGGACGTTGCAGCACTTGCAAGAGGTAGGGTTTGAACAATTTTTCATCTTTGTTCTCAGATCGTTTTATTGCATGAAGCCATACAACAGTCACCCCACGTCGAGCCAATTAACAAGCGGGATATTTCGTACGACAATGCAGCTGGCTACGGAGAAGCACTTTGTGTTCAAGATAACAGAAAGAGTGAAGGAGAAAAGATGAAAAGTTGGGCAGAAGCTCATTGGAGAAACAGCCACTTATCTCTTGCTGAGGCGCTCAGAATCACTGAATCCTCCAACAGAGTTCCAGTGATAGATGCTCGAACTGGTAGAGCTCTGTAACTGTAAGCTCATGTTTTCAATAACAGCTGAATGCTACTTGTTGTACACAAAATGATATAACCATTAGAGACATCTCTTTGAAGAAATAAACTTTTCTGTACTAGTACATTCTCCCAGAAAGTTACCACATAGTATGTCAAATCCAAAGTACAAAGATGAATACTTTTACAGAGGAATATCCAGGCCTTTCCCAATCTCAACTCCAATCACTTCAAGTATGCCTCTGTGTATTATCTGCATTATCAAAATCGCAGCAGTCAGAATCAGGGAAGTTCATTGATTCATGCAGCCAATAGAAACTCATAACGTGGAGATCGAACAAAAGGCGTCTTATTTACCAGTTCGACGATGAAAGTCCCAATTAGGCCAATCATGCATGCCCTGGAGTTCCAGGTTTCAGCAGTCTTGGTAAAGCCTAGGAATGGGGCTTGGAACTTCGGCTGAACTTTTGGCTGCACCACCTACAATCATGGAAAACCCAAAGCAATGTATTTTTATTAAAGGGAAGATCTTGGAGGAAGGAGAGAGAGAGCTGAAAGGTAACAAACATACACCAGCAGGAAGCCTGGCGGCTTGGACTCTGAAAGAAAGCTGCTTCTGGGCGGGTTTGCTGGTCTGGGTGTTGAAAGGCAGCAGCAGGAGCTGGTGCGAGGAACGTTGAAAGGTGAGAGCTTTAGCAGGGAGAGGAGATGGAGACGAAATGGAAGACAGAGAAGCCATTGTCGTTGAGAAATGAAGGAGCTCTTGTCCGCCTCTGTTTTGTTAGTGTTCGGATGAGCGTTCTTCGCTTCTTATCCACACGACGATTCTGGTGGGCCTGCTCATTCCAATTTTAAGTGGCTGTGGTGTTATTTTGGTATTAGAGTAAGGTTGAAGAAGACGTAGTCATTGAGATCTTGTCTAGTGCTTAACTCGTTTAAACGTAGTCTAAGCATTGTTAGGCGTTTTGTTGAGCAGCGGAGAAAGCCAGATAGGCATTATTTCATTTTACGAGTCGAAAAGTTACATCGTTCTTATTACAATCCTGTATATAGAATAAAATACTAAAGTTCTATTTACTATCTATAATTAACAACATTTACCGATTACATTATAAACTATATATATATATTAGTTAAAATCAAGTCCTGAGCTAAAATCGAATAAAATATCTCCATTTGGTTTGTCCGAGATGTTCACTTTACGGTCACAAAACCGAACGGAGAGGCCTCGAAAGATCTGTATTACGAATGCTGAAAACGACAAGGGTAAGGTAACGAAAGCAAACGTTCAAGTAGTAGATCGTACTGGATTTATAGCCAGAGTGCAGGAAGGCGAGGGTGCATCTATCTACAGTGGAGAATTTAATGATAGAGGGCACTAAGGTCTCACAGTATGTTATAACTTTAGTTAGCGAATAGATTTAATCAAGACATCCTTAAAAGTTTCTCAACAACAATTTTTTGAATGGAGTAATTAATTCTTTTTCCCTTTCAACAGAATGTATTGTGTGCTTCTCCAATAACTAATTATCTTCCCATTTCCTCTTCTTCTTCTTGTTTCCAAGTTTCAATCTGCTCCCCAGATTCCCATTAAAAATAGAGAGATCAACATGGGAATCATCTTTACTACTGACACCACCACGGTCTGTACATAGAACAGTCACCGGACTCCAAGGAGACGATCTGCTGCCGCTGCTGCTGTAATCCATCTCCATTTCCACCATCAGCTCATGGCATCTAATCACATCATCCTGTTCAAACAACATAGTAAGAGAAATATTGCATTAACATTAGAATTTTTTGTTGTTTTTGTAACAATGAATCCTTTTTGTTTTTGGAGTAAACTAAACGCCAACCTTGTGAATACTATGGTCTGTGAGTCGAGGAATGATACGAGTAGCGAGATCAGAGTAATGTGGGTTGGATGAAGCCAACTCTTGTACGCTGCACCAAACCGCTGATATGGCTACTGAACTTGGTCGATACTCCACAAACTTGCACTCTGCAACCAAAGTTGGAATTTACTTAAAAAAATTTCTTGGGCAGTTAGTTACTAACTTAGATTAGAGAAGTCGTCGTCGTCGTCATTATTAGTTAGTTACCAAGCAAAGCCTCGAGGAGGAAACTGGTGGCTGTAGCTGATAATTCCTGCCCAAGTTTGTGTATCGGATTCGAGGAAGAACTCGAATCAGCGATGCTGATGAGGAGCGGTTCGAGGTAAGAGTAACTAGTGGTGGAGGCAAGCCGCCATTGGAGTGACTGTAAGAGCAGCAGTTCCATCTGCTGGATTGTGATTGGTCGGAAGCAATGATTCATCTCCTCCATCTTTCGAAGAAGATCAAATGTAACACATTAATGTTAAAATTCATTAATTCAGGGCCAAGTGGGGGGAAAAATGATTTGGGGGGGTTAAGTAGATAGGTACCTGGAAATCGTACAAGGAAGGTGCATTAGTCTCGTTGAACTTGGAAGCAACAGATAAACAGGCTACTGTCACTAGTTCCATCATCCATGTTTCCCATTCCTGCCATTTGCCATGTCAAGCCACAACAAAAAACCCCCTTAATTTACTCTGTATTTTGGGTAATTGATTAATGTGACGTTAATGTAACGATTCGATAGTAATACTCACGAGGCTACGATGCATAGACATGAAGCGATCGAGATAGTTGGAAGCACTGAAGACTGTTGAAACAGATAGACTCAGTCGACTGCACCACTGCCAAAAACCAAAAACAGAAAAAAAACAGTCAGCCACCTAGTAATTAGTTAAAGTCGTGATTTTTTGGATAGGAATGGAAGGAGAAGGTTAAGATGGGTAGAAGAAGAAGAAGAAACCTTGATTAGCCACTGAATCGCCGTGCGTCGTGCAAGCAACAAGCTTGTGGAGCGACCAAGGCAGTGGAGATAGGCAGCTGGTTGAGGCAGCATGTAAGTGGCTTCCTTGTCAATGAACATGGCAACAGACTGCTGGCACTCTTCCTTGGTGATACTGTCGAAGCAAGTTGAATCACAGCAGCAACTTCCAACATTTCCGCAACTGGGTTCGTTGCAGCAAGCAGTAGGTGATGAGGTTGTGGGGCTACAGAGCAAGACCTCGTCACAGAGAAGAAGACTGTCCATAATACGTGAGTGAGTGAGTGATTGCAGAACATTGTGCATATGGCATGGCGGCAGCAATATATTATACACGAGGAATCAGAGAGGTGAATGCGGCTGGATGAAGGTGGTGGTGATGGTGGTCGAGGGTGGGAGGTAGTTAGAGAATTGAGAGTAGTGGCATAAAAGTCGGGACACGTCCCTCATGAAATGGGATAAATGCTACGCTCGGGGGAAATGAAATGAAATGACATGCGCTTAGCTGGGGAGTAAGTTAGCCTTAGTAGTTTCTGGGCTGGACAAGGAGAGAAGACGACCAATGATATTGCGTGAACGCAAGGGGGGAGTTTTTAAGCCTCCATTAAATGAGCAACTCAACTGTCCCTTCATGATTATCACAACCAATATGCTTCAATCTTTTCTGTGTTTTTCTCTGTCCATACTCGAATCGGTGAGACTGTTCGATTCAAAACCCATATGATCTTGCTGCGGTTCTAAAATGTTCACAGACAGCTATCACAACATACAGAAACTAAACCAGGTCAAACATCTATCACCGTTGTTACATCAACAAGGTTAACGCAAACCTATTTCATGTCCGTAGTCGATAAAACATTCAAACAGAGTTGCTTGCCCCTGGCTGGATCAGATTCTTCCTGCAAAGCCACTTGTACATACTACAGACTTCACACTGAAAGAAGTATCACAAAAGCTGATGAAAGCTACTCAACATCTTTTGGTGCTCATTATTCTCGTGCAACAAGGGGGGCGGTGTTCCATCTTACTGTAACTCGTAGGACGAAAAACTGAAGCCTGTTTTCCCCTCGTTTGCCGATTTGAGTTCCAGCTTCTGAAACGGGCTGCAGATTTTGATACGAGTGAATATTTATGTCAGTCGTGGCTTTAGATAGAAAGAGCCAAGTTGTAACTATGGCATGTGATAACTGTCCGACTTTTCATCATAAAATATTGTCCATTTAAGTAAAGAGACAAGAGTCGCACGCCTAGGATCTACTAATTACCTGCTGTTAGGATCATAATAGAAGCCATTGATGGTAACATCAGCGCAAGAGAAGCATACATAGTAAAATCCAGCTATGGTTAATCCACAGTCAGTTCCGACGTTCACAAAGTACTGTTCCTTCCATCTCTAGACAAACAACAAAGCAAAGGCGATTTTAGTAGGATGCAACAGTGTTCCTTCTTTATCGACTACTGAAGAAACTACAGGAAAATATATTACCATGAATATGAATGGATAGTTACTCAAATCCAGAGATTTGCCGCCATCAGCCTGAACTTGACTCTGCAATGAATTCATCGAGTCCTTAGTAATTAATGCCAATATCACGAATCCAGAGAATAAGTTCCAACGAGCTTTACCTGAAACGGCGCAAAAGATGGAAACTTGGTCCAGTGCTTTATATCATCATCTGGCCTGTTGAGTACTTTACAGTTTATTAAAAGTGACAGTAGCCATTTCAAGGCTGAATACGCAACTCAAAAGATAACCATGCAAATGACTTCAGCACCAAGAGTGCTAACAAATATCATTGACCAAATACAGGAAAACTAGAATAAAAGATCACTTACATTGCCTCCCATTTCCCAGTGAAGAACGTGTAGTTCTTGATGTCAACAATCTCCCCTTCCCAGAAAGTTACCACCTGTGTAGTACTAGCAAATGAACTTTGAAATGGAACACACAACTCTCCCACTCTAGCATCTATGTATTTTCACAAGTTTATCAAAGTGAAGAGTTCATGAGAAGAAGACCAAGACTCTTAAATGAGATTGAAAGAAATCTCACTTTTCCTTTTGAATGTGGTATAAGAGAAGCAATCACATTAAGATATCTATAAGAAGCGTACCATTGAGACCATGAAAAAACGGGAACTAACACCAAGAAATCTAGAGCTGGGACACAATCCATTTACGGGTGAATCTGCCTTTGGAACATTAATAGTTTTCATAGCATCACAAAGGCAACCCTGATCCAGACTAAAAAAAAATACAATTCTTCCACTCTAGTATATTTAATTTAATATGTTTATTAAAATGAACCACTTTGCAGCTGGATAGACTCGAGACTCTTAAATGAGAACCAAGCGAATTTCATAATTTCCTTTTACATGCTCACTATATGCAAAATCAATCACATTCGCACGTACCATAACTTATGATTAAAATCATTCCAAAATAAAAGGACTGTAAGAAATCAATACGAAACAGCTAGGCCAAGGACACGATCTATTTGCTGGTGAATCTGCCATTAGAACATGAAGAGCTTGCATAGTCCCAAAGAGCTAATCCTGATTCAGTTGTAAAATACAATTCTTCCACTCTATCATCTCGTGGTTTCCATATGTTATCAAAATGAACTGTTTTGCAGTTTGATAGACTCATGACTATTAAACGAGATCCACAGGAGTCTCGTATTTTCCTTTGGCATGCTAATAACTAGTGGTTCAATCAGATTTGACACGTAAACAAAGTCTATGATTACAACCATGGGGGAAAAAAAGAGAGGAAGGACTAACACATCAAGAAAATAGAACTACAGCAAGGACAGAATGCCATTGGAACTGTAGGATCTTTAATGGTTGCTCAGTGGTAACCCTGATTCACTCAGAAAACACAATTCCTCAAAACAATTAAATGAGATTCATAGGAGCCTCATCTTTTCCTTTCGAATGCTGATGATAACCAAATCAATCTCATTTCAGATACGACACGTGCAAAGAAAATCATATTAACGAAACTGGAGCTAGGAAACGATGTATTTACTGGTGTATCTGCCATTGGAACATTAAGAGCTTCCATAGTGCCACATAGATAACCTCTATCCAAATCACATCCTTGAATTCGGACGTTAACTTTCCAAGCCTCTTGTTTTTGTAAACTAGAAACATTCTGACTTCCAGAAAAGGCCTGTACCAACCAAATGATCATATATGATGAATAAGTCATACACCGCCAAAGTTTAAACAACAATTTCGCACCAAAAGAAGGACCAACATAAAAGATGAATTCTTTTTGCCAATTCAATATCATGGTATCACCTGCCCGACGCTCAACAGGGAAGAAATCTGCGGCGAATGGTGCCCGGAGTTCGGCCCTGCACAACCAAGCACACTTTCCAGCCTAGGTAAACGACCATTAAACTCAAATCCAGAAATTTTCTGGTGCACGAATCCAAATGATATCATTGAGAGGTAATGAAATAGTGATCGAAACAATGATTGTTCGAATCTCAGCCCGAAAACCCTAATTTGAAGAACTCCAGCAGCCAGGGTGCAGTGAAGTACCTGAAACTTGAGAAGGGACTGAGCTTTCCACCACCCTGACAGGCATTTTGTCAATTAATCGGTCGGCTTGCTCTTGTGGAAAATTGCTGTTGAAGATACTCTTGGAGAAAGCTCCCGGCGTTCCTCTAATCGGCTCCGGCAATTTTGGGGGTATACTGTCACTCCACTCGATAAGAAGGTAAATTATTCTTCCAGTTCCAGGGGGTCGTAATGAGGCTCCCGCGTTCATTTGGCAAGAAAATAAAATCCGAACGGTGGTTCCATTTTCTTTGCGAAACCTATTTCGACCATTGTTACGCTAAGTGAGTTAATCCCCTGTTTTCAGAACTGGACCGGACATTCAATTAGAAAATTCATTGATTTAGAGTTTAATGGTTAGCTGTTACAAAATTTTAGGTTAATCATTGATAGGACAGTTTGAGATATATACTTGTATCTTAAATTAATTTAAAAATGAAGTTAACATTGATCATAATTAATTTCAAATTCATATCATCACCAAAATATCTAACAAACCATTCAAACCGTCTCACAAAAGAAATCATAATTTTAATAATTCAAGTTAAAATTATGGTGCCAGTCGGTAGTAGACCATGTAAAGTCAACAACGAGGTTGGAAAATGAGAAGAGGAAGAAGAAATAAAATTAATAATTCTTCTTTGATGGTCTTAGTTTATGTTAAATTATTTTTAAAAAAAAAATTGTGGTTAAAATAGTGAACTAATAGACCAGTTAAACCGTGGTGGTTCATCTGGTTTTATGTTGAAGCGTGAAAACCGTTTTGGTCCATCAATAGTCATCAAAGCAATGGATCGGCCCGCATATCGTAACCGGTTTGGCGGTTCTACTGGTCCACCCGTTGATCTGGTTCGATTCATATAGCTAGTGATGGCAATGGGGCGGGGCGGGTACCTCAATTCCCATGCCCCGCCCCACGCTACTATGGGTCGGGGCGGGTAAAACCCGCGCGGGTACGGGGCGGGGCGGGTCGACCCACTCTTACATGTTATTCAAAAAAATACAAGTAAATTTTACTTTTTACAATAAAACGTAAGAAAACACTTTAAGAATGAAAAATATTGATAATAGAATGGATAATTGAGCCTAACAAGTTGAAAGATCGACTCTAACTAGTTGAAGAAAAGTCAAAATTGGAGAAATATGTATAGAACTATAGATATTGTAAGAAATTGAGATAAAATGAGTCTAGAACGGGGCGGGACAGGGCAGGACGGGTCGGAAGTAGATACTCATGTCCCGCCCCACGCTACTGCGGGTCGAGTAATACCCGCCCCATCGCGGGTCAGGTCGGGTAATACCCACGGGGCGGGTTGAAATTGCCATCACTACATATAAAAACGGTTAAAGGTTAATCGTCGAATTGGTATAGTGAGAATATATGAAAAATAACTATACTGTATGTATATGTATAAATAATTTCAAGTCTCAATAATTATTTAATAGTCGAACTTAGATAAAATATAGCATAAACATATAAATCAACATAAAAACGTTTACACTTAAATCCAACATACCGTAAAACTTCTAAGTTCTAAGTTCTAACATAATTCAATTAAATATTAACATTCAAATATCCATACTTAGATTTCAAATATAAAAAATCTAACTAGTCAATCTTCGAGGATAAACCATACATCCCCATCTATGAATGAGAGTTGTCCAAATATTTCATCAATCAGAAGATATTCAAATATTTTTTTTAACTTCATCCATGAGTGTAGGCAACAATAGGCGATGACAATTTTGACCTGACCCGTTTTATCCGACCTGTTTGGCCTATTTTGGGGTGGGGCGGGCATGGGTACCTCTCATCGACCCGACCTGCCCTATTCTCGACACGTTCTTGCTTATATTACATGTAATCTTAGTCAAATTACCTAGAATTTTCCTCATATTACCTCATTATTTAGCTATAATAAAGTTGTAAATAAGTGAAAATCTCAATTTCTCCAATACTTTAACTACATTTTATCATATTATGATTTATTTCTTGGTCTTTTAATGAAAATAATGAATATTTTTAAAATTTTCACATAGATTACATACCCATTGGGTCGACCTGCCACGATCCGCGCCCCATGATAAATTACCCGACCTGCCACTGGGCGTGTATAGATATCGAAATACCCAGCCCGGACCTTCCCATTGCCATTTCCACTTTCTTTAACTTTGCTTTCTTTTGACATACTAACCAGTGTGAAATCGACCATATTTCCCTAAAATATTTAGTAGAATGTTTGGATGGGAGTTTCTAAGTTTAATATTTGAATTAAATTGTTGGAAGAAGAGGAAGACCTTGGCATGGCAGCCTACGTACGTCACAGATCCCATGTTTGAATTGTTCAACGAGATGGAAACCTGGGCACATTTTATTATATGGGTAACTGAATTTGTACTCATCAATTGCTAGTAGTCACCATAGTAGCTTATCAAACATGAAGCTAATGAGGTCTCAAGTAATTGCAAAAAATAGATAAGCAATGGAAATATGAAGGAATCACACAATCAAAGGTGAAAGGCCAGACAATAGGTGCTCCCGTGAAGCTAGCCCTAAGTGATATCATGATCATCACACGAAAAAAACCAAAGTAATGTTCACGATTACTTAATTAGCTCGAACAATATCAGCAACCATTTTGCTTTCAATCTCTATAAATTGTCAGGCCTTCAGCTTCATTCAAACAAACATCCAATTACCTCAACATGGCCAAGTTCACAATACTACCCCTCCTTCTCCTCCTAGCCATAGCTCTCCCACTACTACTAGCCGTGTCAGGAGCCAGACCAATCACTATCAAGGTGGATTGTGGTTCCAGTCGTGGAGATGATGTCGAGGGGGACTCGCATCCTATCGATGTCGTGGAGCCAGAGAGCGAAGTGGATGAACAACTGGATGATCATCAGGGTTTCTTCGAGGGCGAGGAAGAGGCTGGATCCATGTCTAGCGACGTGGAGCTAGAGAGCGATATCAATGACCAATATGATGATGAAGACTTGCTTCAGGATGAGGCCGAGGATGAGGCTGGCTCCATGCCTAGCGACGTGGAGCTAGAGAGCGATATTGACGAACAACTTGGTGATGAAGGCTCGTTTCAGGACGAGGATGGCTCCATGTCTAGCGACGTGGAGTTAATAGAGAGCGATATCGATGACCAACTTGACGGTGAAGGCTCGTCTGAGGACGAGAACGAGGATGGCTCCATGTCTGGTGACATCGAGCTAGAGAGCGATATCGATGATGACCAATATGATGATGAAGTCTTGCTTCAGGACGAGGCTGGCCAGGATGAGGACGAGGCTGGCTCCATGCCTAGCGACGTGGAGCTAGAGAGCGATACTGATGAACAACTCGACGATGAAGGCTCGTTTCAAAACGAGGAGGACGAGGATGGCTCCATGCGTAGCGACGTGGAGCTTATAGGGAGCGATATCGATGAACAACTTGATGATGGAAACTCGTTTCAGGACGACGTGATAGAGAGTGAAGATCAAGCTGGAAGCTCGAAGACAAGTGCAGCAGCAGAAGACCAGTAACCTGAATTAAGCTGAGAAGTTTCGAAGACCAGAGAAGAAATGTTTCCTGTTTCCTTACTTTATTTATTATTGTAAACGCTGTCGTTTTGCTGTTATGCTTTGTAGACGTTAAACATTCAGGATAACGACCTGTCAAGCTGAGACGCGTGACAATCTCAGCTTAAATAAGTCGTTAATCACTGTATAACGATATAAATAACAAACAGCTGGAAACCTCACTGCTTTGCGGGTTTCCGATCAATCTCTGCCGCGCCTCCTTTACTTTTCTTTACGACGACGAAGACGAGGCTAGCTACATAGCAATGCCAACAGATAACCGTGAACAGGATGATTCTGAACGATCAGAATCATCCTATTCGGATGATCATGCCGACGAATTCGACCCGGAGGAGAGTACAAGTTCGGAGGATAATTTGGGCGTTCCGGTAAGGAACGTGGTAACGCAGGCATTCTTCGACAGCATAATAAGGAAGGCAGCTCCAAATTGCAAGGGGAAGCGATTCTACACCAGGGCTGCTTTCCTCACCGCGACCCGATCCTATTTCTACCTCGCTGCTTTCTTCGCCCATGTCACGCACGAAACTGGATGTAAGCTTTCGTTTTTTCATTAGTTTCCCAATATCGTACTAATAGAGCTACTCGATTTCGATTTCGGTATTATGTGCTGAAAATGCATGCATGCAGCGTTATGCTATACCGAGGAGATTAAGAAATCGCGGTACTGCGACCCGAAGGCGAAGAAGTGGCCGTGCGCCCCTGGGAGGCAGTACTACGGGCGGGGCCCGCTCCAGCTGACGTGGAACTACAACTACGGGCCGTGCGGGCGAGCCAACAGGTTCGACGGCCTGAAGAATCCGGACATCGTGGCGAGGAACCGGGTGGTGGCCTGGAAGGCTGCGCTGTGGTTCTGGATGAAGAACGTCCGGCCCGTGGTGGGCCGCGGGTTCGAGCCCACGATTCGGGCCATCAACGGCGCCCTGGAGTGCAACGGGAAGAATCCTGGTGCTGTCAAAGCTCGCGTCGACTTCTACAAGGGCTACTGCAAGCGCTTCGGTGTCGCACCGGGGCCTAATCTCACCTGCTAATTAATGAAAAACATTTACAGCAGCGTACTGCTATTGAACATTTAAAACTTTGCCAATGCGTGTTTGCTTGTTTCGTATTGTACTTTTATCTTTTAAGAATCAGAATAAAAGGTCTCGATCAGTGAATCGTATTCATTTTTCACCTAACCCTACCTTTTAATCACTAATCTTTTATACGGAACGAAATATGTAACCAACTAATTATGTGAAGTTCAATGGCGCATATTGAGAAAGACATCATAGAATATAGATGGTTAGGAAAAATAAAACCACGTATATATGAGTATGCGGAAAAGAATATTAGACAATATGCAAACTTAAACCGAAATATAATTTGACATAAGAATGACGTGGTTTCCTTGTCCAGGGAGAACGAGGCTAGTCCACGGGCGAAGCTGAGTAAAACTCGTAATAGCGCAAACTGAAGCTGAGTAATAGTAATTATGGAGACACGTTGGTTTCATAATTAAAATTTGATGCCACTATATACTGCGATCTTGTCATTGTTTGACTTTGCATTGTCAGGAGTGTTCGTTTTAGACATATCGTGAAACAATCGAGTCCACCTCTATGTATATCAATAGAACCAACGCAACCTTAATCACGATTCAATATTAATTAAACCACCATGATCACCACATTTACACATTCAATGACACATATCATATATGAATGAGTAACAGGAAAATTATATGTAATGTGATCTTGAAAATGCATATTATTCAACGGGTCCAATTTTATTCCTTAGTGAGATTAGTCAAAATTCCCTCATACCAAATGATTATTGCACAACTAAAGGCACTCTAAATTCTAAAATAGACTCTATACAACCATCAATTTATTTTGTAGAAATTGATTTAGTCATAGTCTATTGAACATAAACCAAACTATCATATGAAATCACACTCATAATAATAATATGCTAATGAAAACGGTAAGTGTTAAAACTTAAATATTTGGCAAATAGGTTAGCTGACATTTGTTATGTCCTTAATGTTCTATAGAAATTTGTCTATTTTATATTTTAAACCTTCTCGTGGAACTTGGTATCCATAATGTTGTACTTGTGAAATCATGTTGTAATGCTAGTATATCACTATGGTAACATTGCCGCTATAAAAGTTCTAAATCAAAATGAGTGACCAATGTCATCACCGTGACAAAAAACATCTTTTATCGATCATTCAACTTATGTTAATCATCTTCTTCGTTTCATATGATTTATGTCGATTGCATGAAAATATTGATATTTCGTATATTTTCGGTTGGGTTAGGGAATATGCATGGAGAAAGGGTGCAAGGAGAGAGAGCAAAGCCAAGCTCAGGCTTGAATTCCACTCATGGCTCCTTTCATTACCACTTCGAGCAGCTTCCTGACAGAAGAAGGCAGCAATTTTCTGGCCAATCTCGGCATGCATTCATTGGCAAGTAAATGGAAGGAAGAAAGCAAACTCAAATCACCATTTCTAGTTTCTACCAACCGTTTGTTTCCCGCAAGCAAACCCCCCCTCACCGCCTTTTTGTCTTTGCACGCATGCCAAACCCTTTTCCTAAAAGGATTAAGGAAACAAAAAAATTCATGTGTCAGTGCTTTGTAACATACAGAGTGAAGAGAAAATGTTGCAACTTTTTTGTTTTATGTTGGTTGTTGTTGTTGCAGAAATGAAGAGAAAGTGTTGCAGTGAGGTTCACCAACTTTGCAATTAACGCCTGCCTTCTTCCTGCTTTTTTTGCCTTGTGTATTGATCACTCGTTACTTCATTTTCATTCAGAATTATTGGCAGCTTCCCCCCTTTTTGTGCGTTTGTCCTTATCTTTCTTCTTCTGAATTCATCATTACGCGATCTGACTCCGCCTATTTACTTACAGCAGCAGTTCCAAAACAGCATGAGCAACTCCCATCTGCATTCTCCATCTCTTGATCTTCACTGCAAAACAGAGCATTGAAGAATTTGTTGACAATGGGATCTTCTGAGCCGTTGAAGGTCACATTCAGCAGCCCGGCCAAGTACTGGACTGACGCCATCCCGATCGGAAACGGCCGCCTCGGCGCCATGGTCTGGGGCGGGGTGGCCGCCGAGACCATCCAGCTCAACGGTGAGCCCACAAAAAAGAATTTGCAAAATTTCTTCTCTTTCTCTCTGGTTTTTGCCAATTTGCAAAATTTCTTCAATTGGCAGAGGACACGCTCTGGACTGGAGCTCCAGGAAACTACACTGACCCAGATGCTCCCAAGGCGCTGGCTCAAGTTAGAAATCTGGTTCACGAGGCCCAATTCGTCCAGGCCACACAGGCTTCTGCTGGGTTGTTCGGTGGGCCCACACAGGTCAAGGCCCATTCTCTTCCCTTCCCTTCCCTTCCCTTCCACAACTGTTTTGGTTTGAACTTTGAAGAAATCGCTATTCACTGATTTTGGTATCAAATTAGGTTTACCAACCATTGGGAGACATCAAGCTCCAATTCGACGGCTCCCATCTCAACGATGGCGCCTATTCCCGGGAGCTGGACTTGGATACTGCAACAGCACGAGTTCAGTACACCGTCGGCGGCGTGGAGTTCAGCAGAGAGCATTTCGCATCCAACCCAGATCAAATCATCGCCACTAACATCTCTGCGTCAAGCCCTGGATCCGTATCATTTACCGTCTCCCTCGACTGCGCTCTCCCGGACCATCGGATTCACATCAACAACGACCACAAAAACCAAATTGTACTGATCGGGAGTTGCAGTGGACAGCAGCCGGGTTCCACCGGGATTCAGTTTGCTGCAGTTCTCGAGTTGGAGATTAGTGCCGGCAACGGTGTAGTCTCGAGATTGGATGACGACGACAACGGGTTGAGAGTTGAAGGTGCAGATTGGGCTGTCCTGCTTCTGTCTGCTTCCTCTTCTTTTCAAGGCCCGTTCACCAACCCAGCCAATTCCACTAGAAACCCGACCTCTCTCGCCCTTCTTGCGCTCCAAGAAGTTGCCAAGCTCTCCTACTCTGATCTATGGTCCCGCCATGTCGATGACTACCAGAGTCTCTTCCACCGTGTTTCGCTGCAGCTGTGGACAAGTGCAGCAGCCGAAGCGGATGATCGTGCCGTTGCAGTTCGGACGGCGGCGGAGAGGATCAGGTCATTCCAAGAGGATCAAGATCCTGCCTTTGTGGAGCTTCTGTTCCAATTCGGTCGGTATCTGCTTATATCTAGCTCGCGCCCTGGAACTCAGGTGTCGAATTTGCAAGGGATATGGAACCCAGATGTTAAGCCTGCGTGGGAGTAATGTTCTGAATCCTGACTTTGTTTCCCTTACATTTCCTTTTGAGATACGGGCTCATAGTTCTTGGGTGCAAAAAACTTGTGTGCGTGGTTGCAGTTGTGCGCCTCATTTGAATATCAACCTGGAGATGAACTATTGGCCTTCCCTTCCATGCAATCTCAGGGAGTGCGAGGAGCCGTTATTCGACCACATTCAAGCTCTTTCAATTAGTGGAAGTCAAACAGCAAAAGTAAGTAGGGGGTATGATTCAACCCAACTGCACGTTGTTACGAAATATACTCACTCATCACGGCTTGCAGGTAAACTACGAAGCAAGTGGTTGGGTTGTGCATCATGTGTCCGACTTATGGGCAAAATCCTCTGCATATGAAAGAGATGCTAGGTGGGCAATATGGCCAATGGGCGGGGCCTGGCTTTGCACTCATTTGTGGGAGTACTACACCTACACCATGGACAAAGTAAGCCATTCTTATTGTAATTGCTACACCTAATTTATTTATCCTAGTTTTGTAGTCTCAAGTAAATGCTTGGTACAGGATTTCCTGCAAAAAACAGCATACCCTCTCCTGAAAGGATGCGCCTCATTTTTGGTGGATTGGTTGATCAAAGGGCCCCAAGGATATCTAGAGACCAATCCATCAACTTCTCCAGAACACTTGTTTGTTGCTCCGGATGGAAAACAGGCTTCAGTTAGCTACTCATCCACGATGGACATGGCAATTATAAAGGAAATTTTCTCTGCACTTGTTTCTGCTGCGGAGGTGGTTAAGCTCTTATCGTGTTGCAGACATGACAGCTTGTGGTTCTGTATTTGAGAATCGAGTGTAATTGATTTCTCTTGCTTCAGGTTCTGAATATGACCGAAGATCCCTTTGTCCAGAATGTCGGCGAGATTCAATCAAAGCTTTCTCCAACAAAAACTGCCAAAGATGGTTCCATTATGGAATGGGTATGAACATAACATGAGTAGAGTTTTAATGCATGGTTTCTAAATGTTCATCCGGTTTAGATAATGAATAAGCCATGTTAATGTATACTGAGATATTCATGTGGGTGCACGCAGGCACTAGATTTTGAGGACCCAGAAGTGCAGCACAGGCACCTGTCTCACCTGTTTGGTCTGTTTCCAGGACACACTATAACCATTGAGAAAAATCCAGACCTATGTAAAGCTGCTGAGAAAACTCTTTACAAACGAGGTCTGTTTTATTTTGTTACCAGTGAAAAATGATTGTTTCAATCACCTAGGTCGGTCGAGGCTCCTTCTGAACGTTGAGAAACCATTATATCCATGAAAATGATAATGCCACATTGCTACTTTCATACTGGGAAAAGAATATGCAAGCATGACAGTGATTCTCACATTTACTTATAGCTTTAAGTACGTGATATCATATTTTCTTTAGGATAAACTAGGGTGAGACTGATACCAGTTGTTATATTCGTTGATCTTGAATGAAAACAGGAGAGAACGGTCCTGGATGGTCAACTACATGGAAAATTGCTTGTTGGGCTCGTCTGAGGAACAGTGAGCAAGCTTATAAGATGGTCAAGCACTTGATCCAGCCAGTAGATCCGGATAAGACAACCATAGATTTTGAAGGCGGACTGTACAGCAACTTATTCACTGCACACCCTCCATTCCAGATTGATGCAAACTTCGGGTAAGCATGCACCACTGAATACCATCAATTGGTAAGAACATACATATACATTGGAACCGTCTTGTAACATATTGG